GCTCTCAGCTAACTAATAATCCCTCGTATACTACCTGAAGGCAACCAGTTTGCCAGAGCAAGACCCTCAAAAAAAAAAAAAAAACGGCAGATCCCAAGAACTTCGGGAATCAACGTCATGAGAAGCATGCGGGGGGAAAGTGACCGCGTAGTAATTTTTTTTATTGAGCGACACGTTATAAAATGACGCAAAATATATGTACAAATGTTGCACGCTTATAGAAAAAATATAGCGAGCACTGTAACCACAATTGACCAACACTACGCCTGCATAGGTTTATTTTACAAAGCAGTTTAGAGACCTGGCGAACCCCGCCACGGTGGTCTAGTGGTCACCTTGCTATAGTGGCTAAGGTATAGGCTGCTCACGCGCAGGTAGCGGGATCGAATCCCGGCTGCGGCGGCTGCATTTTCGGAAGAGGCGAAAATGCTGTAGGCCCACGTGCTCAGATTTGGGTGCACGTCAAAGCACCCCAGGTGGTCTAAATATCCGGAGCCCTCCACTATACGGCGTCTTTCATGATCATACGGTGGCTTTGGGACGTTAAACCCCACGTATCAATCAATCACGAGACCTGGAGTGCGTAGCTCTTTGGTAGAAAACTTGACTGCCACGCAGAATGTTTGGATTATATTCCTGCTGAGACCATGTCATTTATTCTTTGCATTCGCCGTATCACCGCTGCCGATGTAAGTTTTTATTAACGTTTTTGTAATAAATTACCAATGTCTGTTCTCGCCATTCCTCCGTGGATATAGATATAAACTGTCAATAGCTTGTGAGGCATAGCCGTATTCCAAGACCCGTAGTAAACGGGGACGTGTGTCTGTCACACGTGTCTGGAGGAAAGGATATGACGACATACACGACGGAATTTTCACGTCGCTCATGTTGTGACCAGCCAGACATATTTATCCAACCATTTTATTTTCCTATATACTAATTTTGGCCAACCCCAAGTTAGGGAGGCAATAACGAGAGCATCCAGACGTAGGCGCCTAGATAGATGTGTCCAGTCCGCTAAGGAATGCTTCGTATGTAAAATGATTCATAAAGTTTGCACTGAATCGCTCACAGCTTGGCACAGAGAAGCAGGCGTGCCCATCGCCGCCCGTCCTCTCTGTCGACAACACGTCGATGCTCGTCTTCCTCCTCGGGAATGCGCACTTTCTTGAAAGCAGTGCTGTAAATCATGGTGGGGTTAGGGGGGGGTTCTGCCCCCCCCCCTTTGTGCTCAGAATGGGAGGGGGACACTCCTTGCAAACGTCACCCTTGAAATTTCTCTTTTAGACGTCTTGACAGTTACGTATATTGCGAGTACTTTTTTTAATGCCCGCTTTACTTCATTTATTCATTATTTATTTAGTTATTATTGCCGCTCAAACTGTTTCAGAAAATACCCAACAGAAGAATGCGAATATGCCAGCTAAAAAAAAACCACACATTCATTTTTTTTCTTTCAAATCATTTTATATTTTTATATAAGTAAAAGTACTATGCAACATTCATGAACTGTACAACATTCATGGAAACGACATGACTACCACAGCAAGGTGTGTGTGTGTGTTCCTCCTTGTAATTTTTCTAGACTCACGCCACGGTGTAGGACGTTCCATGACTGTCTCGGCATGATCGGACGCAGACTGGCTAGAGTGGAATTAGCGCGCGGTGTCTCCCTCGGTGCGTGGGCGTCGTAGGGTGGGGGCGGGGGGGGGGGGTGCAAAAGAGGCACTTGCCCTCCTCAAGCCTCACCAAAATTTGCCCGCACCCAAGTTACACCAGTGCAATAGCCTTCTCCCCAAGCCGCGATGCAACACTGGTTTGCACCCGCCAACTTGAATATCCTGCCGACGACCAATGCGTGGCTTATCTACTGCGTCTGCGCGGCTTGGTCAGGTGGTGCGGTACCTGGCCGTCATGCTCGCTTCCACTTTTTTTTTGCTTCTATTTTATCTTCTCTCAGTTTGCGCCCATTACACGCGACGCCATGCGAAACGTCTCTATCGTTACTTTAGAGTATAATGGGTTATAATAGATATAAGGTCGCTGTGGTAGACCGTGGTTGGTTTCGCGACTAATATCAGCAAGACGAACTTCTTGTTCCTTTCGTCGAGCATCGTATTCGCGCTGTTCTTCTGGTGTCTGATTTCTGTGGTGTACCCACGGCAGTCTTAGAACGAACTTAATGGGTGGCCAGTTGAACACACGCATATATATATATATATATATATATATATATATATATATATATATATATATATATATATATATATATATATATATATATATATATATATATATATATATCTCAAAGTGCGGGTTATACACGAAGGGAGAAGGAAGGTCAATAAAACTTCATTTGGGCCTAGTTAGTACAGATCTCTGAATTGTCATTGTGTGTGTGTGTGTGTGTAGTTTCTTCCCTTTGTGGGGCGTGTTCTGTCCATGGTAGCGCTGTTATAATTTACCAATGTGTGTTTCGTTTCTTTTATCTGCGGGGCGTATTCTGTACGTGCGCTGTTATTTTTAATTCGGAAAAGGAAGGGCTGATTGGCGCCATTCGAAACCCTCGTGTGAAGTGCAAAGCAGATGCAACCTACATCTCTATCAGGAATGCGCGGGATGGTGTTCCCATTGTGCACAGTCGCCTGATCATCCATCATGCGGTTGGGGTGCTTGTTTTGTGGTTCTCTTTAATGAAACGAATGCTCAGCTGTATGCTGAATGCAAAGAATGATACGTTGCCTGCTTTCAATTGTTAAATGGTCCCTACACCACCCGGCGGACGAAACAATTAGTTGTGGCGTTGGGGTTGTGCACGAGTCTATAGAGCGAACGCGTTCATCGACTCGTGTGTCCACCTTTCCGAATGTCCGTACTCATCGTCCGAGGCGAAAACGCGAGGAGCACGTGTGCTAGCAGAGAAGCACGCGAGCGTTTGTTGGTGGTTTAGGCGCCCTTTAGGGCCTTTACACGCGCTTCCCGCACAGCCGCAACGCACGTGCCGGGACCCCTACCGCACGCAAGCTGGGAAAAAGTAAGCCAATTGGCGACGCTCTTTCACCCTCCGCAGCGTCGCCAATTGGCTTATTTGTCTCCCGCTTGCGTACGGCAGGGGTCCCGGCACGTGCGTTGCGGCTGTGCGGAAAGCGCGTGGAAAGGCCCTTAACCTGGCGTGTTGTGTTAAAATACATGAGGCACACTACGCGATATGAGGGTTTTGTGCTTCCAAGAAAATTTTCGACGGAAAAAAATGTGTACATATTTGATATAAAATAAATAAAGCACCTCGATAGCGAGACACGTCTGTCATCGAAGGCCGGCACACCATTCTTCGGCAGATTGTGCTTATCACGCCCGTAATAGGAGCGTTAGGTCGGCTTCATGCATTATTTAATGATGGACGTACTGTGGCAATGCTAAGAGTATATGTCAACATTCGGCTGCAGTCAACGCCCTTTATTCGTCAAAAGTCGGCTCGAACCGCTCCTAGCGAAGCGTCAATGTGTGCATATGGGCACGCGCCACAGACCGCCTATATATATCCACACAAACCTGGCGATGGGGCTGCTGCGGCATGTAGCTCGATCGACCTTGCAGCGAATGCTTAAATGCCAAGCTATTCAAATATGTGACGTTTGAAATACAAATGTCAAGGAAGGACACTTGCGAGGCATGCCCCCCCCCCCCCGGCCTGGACACAGAGGGCGACCCCCCTCCCCCACCAGACTGCCCTCCCGTGCTTTTACTCCAGTGTAACAATGAAAATTACGCAAGCTTTGATGACTTGTGCTTTTAACTTTTCGAAGCCCCCCACCTAGGATTAGCGTCATCAAAACTAAAAAAAAAAAAAGAAATGTTGCACCATTTATAGAAACTATGTTGTCCCCAAACGATAACTTAGCCATCGGTCTTGCGTGCCTCCCGCAATGCTGCGCACTAATGCATGTAGTCCACAACGAAATGTGTGCCGTATAGCATTCCTGCGAGGAAATTTAGGTAGCGACTACCAAACTTTCAAGCAAAAAGCGCAACAGGCAAGACTGATAACGATAAGTTGCGGACAGCGGCGTAGCCCCATTTTGTTTTTTGGTTGAAGAATTATAAAAAAGGGGGAGGGTGGTTCAACAACCCTCTATGCATGTTCCTGCGTGTGTTCCCACTAGTTTACACATATTGGAAAGCTTCAGGGAAATCATGCCCCCCCCCCCCCCCCCCAGCTACGCCACCGTTTGCGGACGCTACAACACAATTGGATCAAACTATAATAATAGTCTGGCATAAGGCCCCGGGCTTAACAAGGAAGTGTACTATATTATACTGGGGTATAAGAGGGAGGGAGGGGGAGGAACTGACGTTCTGCACCTGCCACTCCCAGCTGCGTCCGTGCGTGCATGCCGTAAAATGATCACGGAGAGGGCGTCATTTCCCACTCGTTCCGTTTTCCTGGCTACTACTCCAAAGACATTAATCAATCCACAAACTATGCCGAAACAGCGGAACACTGAAGATGAGACAAACCTGCCTGAAACGGTAGCGCCTCCAGAGAAGATGTCACGACGCGGCGTTCGTACCTTGCACGGTGGAACCTTGGGTCAACGGAGATGGCCAATGTGAGGACGTCCCCTCCGCACGCTGGTTGAAATATTCTAGCTGCTCTCGCTTCGATTCTTGTACTACATTCCTACTGCTTTTTTCTATTATGCTGACCCACGCTTCCTGCAGGCTTCAGAAAGCTAAACCATTTTTTTGTTGCCCCGCCTGGAGACACGAACTTTCAAGTTGTACCGCGCTGAGTGTGCTGTCACATTCCGTAGACCACGGTTTCGGCTCGTCTTGGATAACTCACTTCACTGCAGTGCTCAAAAAAAAAAAGTTACTAAATATTCTTAGTAGTTCAAAGACGTTTGAACGATTTCTTGTTTGGCAATTATTAAACGAAGTACTGCTCAAGTATAGTAAGCATACGCAGCCAAGCCAAAGCAATCCAAAGATTTTGTGTTTGCGATGCTTGTTACTTGTATCAAAAAGCGCGGCATGAGCCTTTGCACGTCCCTCTTGTGAATTTGCTTGCAAACCTCGCCCCTCTCGTACATTTACTATGAGCAGCTCTGACACCGATGATGACATACCTGACGGCAAGGTCTGCCAGCAGTTATGCGAAGAATTTGCGGCTATAACACAGACTGACACGGCCTGCGCGCAGTTTTATCTCCAAGACAGGTCCTGGAACCTTGAGGTGAACTGTGTTTCTACTCTTATTTCTTCGTTACAGCTTTGCAGAAAAACGACTATCTAGAATTGCTATGTTTAAAAAAAAACGTCGTTTGCATCTGTGGCTGTGGCAAATCAGCTCGGTTCTGATTTTCTAGTGTGTTGTTTTGAGGTCGAAATATTGATCTCATACTTTGCTAGCTCAAGGCAGGGCTCGAATTATGGTATAATCTTCACAGTTAAATTTGTGCCACACACATTTGCGACACTCTGCGCAGGTGTCTTACATCGCTCAAGTATCGCCGAATACTTCGTACTTGTGTTGCCGCCAAAGGGTACTTCAGAACGACTTAGTTGTCGTTTACAGAGTTCAAGAAAGTTTCTGATTACACATTTTGATTTGCATCGTTACGATCTCACACGTCTTGTTTTTTTTTTCTTCAGCGGCAGCCGTCCAAGTCTCGCAGCTGCCGCAACTGCCATATTTGCTGAGGCAGCCACGAGCAACAGGAGTGGGACAAGGGTTTCAAGTGCCACTGCAGATCAGCCCAGCACTTTGAAGCTTATCTCGTGGAACACCGATGGTATCGATGATAAGAACCTGGTGCTCCGGGCAAAGGCAGTCTGTTCCACGATTGAAAGGTAATTTGTCTGTGATTGTTATGGCGAATCTGTGTATTCTGGAATGGTAAGCATCACTTGTAGAGCATAGCCGCTTGGTGAAAAATAATCTAATCACGTGTGAAACTGATGCCCAGGATAGGGTAGGAACAGAGCTAATCCTCTTCACAATCAGATTTTCTTCTGGATATTACTTGAAAAATACGCATGGTAGTAGTTGGGAAAAGGATTCTTTACGAAAACACCTTTTTTTCCCCCTTTAGTGCTGGCATAGATGTTGCATTTCTTCAAGAAGTGGTACCTGCCTCAGCCGACATCTTCAAGACTCTCCTTCCTGGATACAAGTGTATCGTGGGGAACACCATCGAGTATTTCACAGTCACTCTACTCAGGAAGGCGACGATTGACTATGAAAGCCATGTCATCTACCCGTTTTCTAACACTGCCATGGGCCGAAATGTGACTTACATTAAGGTAAGGACTGCGGTGTTTAAATCCATCTTATGTTCCTAGTGTTCAGGTGAGGCATTCTTGTTAACCATGGCTGGATTATGTGATTTCTTTGTCACTGCAATATAAGCAACAACTGAAGATCACTGTTATCTGTAAATATATATTACAAGCATGTAACAAATGCTTGCTTATAATGAGTATTGCTGTAACAGATGTTTCACTATTGATTACAACTTTGCTGTAATGGTTTTTGACTGGACTTCGGTTTCTTGTGCATTCAAACTTGCCTTAGGCATCGTTTGGGGGCTTTCCTATCACACTGATGAACACCCACTTGGAGAGCACTGCCGACTTTGCTGAGCAGCGAACAGTGCAGTTCTACAAATGCCTGAAAAAGTGCATCAAGGAACCTGACGAGAGGACGGTCATCTTTGGTGGCGACCTCAACCTGCGAGACAGTGAGGTATGTCATTTGCTCTGTCGGATGGCGCAGACGACAAACTTTTTTACCGGCTGTATTCTTGAAGTCGCTGTGGTTTTGTGTCATTCACGTGGACAGGCATCGCACGGTGCACTGCTGCTTGCCATTAAGCTCAATCTAGATCAAATTTCTCAACTGCGATAGGGTGCATTCTGCACTTTACATTATGCAACCTATCACGACATAAAAATTTGACCCGGTTTATGCCAGAATCACTAAAAAAAAGCGAATTTTAAGGCCTTGTTTGACTTTGTTACAAGCATTGCGCACTTAACTTGATGGTCCCTGCCGGGGGCATGTTTTCTTTTCGTCCACTTTGCGTTCACCACATTTACATCACAATAGCTACAAATAACATTCCCACTACATTGCTTAGCTTTCTCGTCTGTTATAATTAATACAAATATGAGTCAGTGATTATTTGCCTTGATGTTGCTGTGTCTGTTTCATGGCTTGTGATGCAATCACTTCAGTCTCAGCTGAATCATGTTAAAGGTTGACGTTTGGTGCAGCCAGCTAGCATGTGTGCTTGTGCCTGTTTGATGCGTTTGCTAAGAAATGTGAAATAGTTGAAATTAATATGGAGTGACCCAACCTATAAAAAAAAAAAAAAAAAAAATGTCCCACAGCACTCACCGTCCTTATTCAGAAAATTTGCACAATTACTCTGTCCAGTAGCGTCTACCCATTTTCACGACTTTAACCACTTCCTGCTATTTAGATGGTTCACTTTGTCATACAAACTCGTTTGTATTGTTTTTTGGCAAAATACTTGAACGTCCTCGTAAAGTTCTTCATGGATTCCAACGTCGCTGCTCAGCTAAATGTAACTTTTTAGGTAGTAGTAAGGATGAACCTTTTTTCTCTTGAATATATCTACATTAGCCTGCATAAAGTAGTTGCAGTTCATGTACAAAATGGCTAGTGCGACTCATTCACATGTGAATGGCAGGCGTGCCAAAGTTCTGTGGGCGCCCTGCCGCGGTGGTCTAGTGGCTAAGGTACTCGGCTGCTGACCCTCAGGTCGCGGGATCGAATCTCGGACACGGCTGCTGCATTTCCGATGGAAATGTTGTAGGCCTGTGTGCTCAGATTTGGGTGCACGTTAAAGAACCCGAGGTGGTCGAATTATTCGGAGCCCTCCACTATGGCGTCTCTCATAATCGTATGGTGGTTTTGGGACGTTAAACCCCACATATCTATTAGGTTCTGTGGCCGTTCTTGTTTTTTTTATAAAAAGGTTTTTTAATTGAGTATACATCGTGCCTATGGCAGTTTCAAAATTCAAAAATTTATATGTTCACTTTCAGGTTGAAGACATAGGCGGCCTGCCACAAGGTGTGAAGGACGTCTGGGAATCCTGCGGGCAGCGCAAGGAGGTGCGTTACACGTGGGACATGACACGCAACGACAATGTTACCTGGAACGGCCGTTTCAAGCCTCGGTGTCGCTTCGACCGTGTGTACATAAGAGCTGCTAAACCTCCTACCATGAAACCAGCATTCTTCGGTATGGTTGGGCTTGAAAGGCTGAAGCCCCACAGATGCTTTCCTAGTGACCATTGGGGTCTACTGTGCCACTTCAAGCTTCTCTAGTCGGGCTGGCATCACATTGCACTTCACCGTGTTTAGTTCGTACGAAAAGAAGGACCCCAACAGTGATGCATCGAGTGCTTTTTAAAAATTTTATTCCTCTTTTCGCTGTTGTCAACTCAGGGCCACAAGATGCATGCCAGTGAGCATGCGAATTCGTCATTTTGCTATGCAAGGCGTGCTTTATCTGCTGTATATAAAAAATTCCGTTTCTAAAATAAAATGTGCCCGCCATTGAATTATGTAGCACTGTGTACAGGTTGCTTCTGTAGCTTGCGAAAGCAAATGTGAACCACTATGAAAACATTTGAGGTTGAGCTACAGTGTATAAAAAAGTCATTTCCTACCTACAGCACGAGACCATTGCATAACAAATGCAGTTTCACAATCGGTGTTACATCCATTAATGCCTCATCTGTTAACCAAGCAAGTGGCATTGCATTCGTTAACCAGTTTAATCAATGAAGCACCACTGAACGATTTCAAGTTCCGCATTGCGCAGAGTGCTGTGGCTGCTATGTGCCAGCGCTGCACGTGCCTAAACCAGCGGCCAATATGCAGCGGGAAAAGATGCTCAAAGCCGTGATGCATGGCGATTTAACTTTAGGGTGGCACACTGTCCCCTTGCCTTCCATTTGAACTTTCTGGACACCGCCTATTAAAAACTGCCGGTAAATGTGTCGAATTGATATGTTATTTCAAGGCACTCAATATTTTATTGCAGAAAATACAATGTCATAATATGTTAACTTATGCACAATGTATTAACTTAATCCTAATTAAGTTGTAATTAAATATCTATCCTGAAGTCATTGATGCTCCATTTTGGCACATAGAATGAAATCTCCAACTTGAAATTGGGTTGAATTCACTTCTGGTTATCCCTTTTGAGGGAAAAAAAAAACTTTTTACGTGGCTTGGAGGAAGCGGCACGTCAAACAGAGTAGTGTTTCTAGAAAGGTGATCATACCCGACAGTACACTACAAAACAAAACCAAATAAAGACAAACTTACCTGGTAGGAGGTTCAATTAATCCAAAGCTCAATATATCTCGCTCTTGTTTAGCCCCTAGTTAATACAAATAGCAAAAATAAGTGTGGACAATTGTGTACATAGCATCTCAAAGGGTTAAAGGAGTGCTTTCATGGCACTTTTCTAGTCTCTTCATTGCATTAAAATGAAGATTTGAAATTTCTAAATCTTGAAGCATTACCAAGCTCCAAAATGCACCAAATAGGTTATTACAATTGTTTACACGAGCTGGTTACAGTATCCAGAAGTGAATACATGGTAATCTTCACTGTGAGCGGCTTCTCTGCTACGATTTCTATGAATGCCATCAGCAGCTACAGCCAGAAATATTGCTCTTCTTGCATAGCAGTACTTGCCTAGTGTAATCCTTTCATGTAAAAGAAACCAAAAAATGGTCTTTGAGGCATGCAGGTAACATTTAATCAATGCAAAGATAGTGGTGCATGTCGCAAATCATGAAACAATGTAGCAGCGAACTCGGAAGGGCGTGCCTACCGCATTATGCAAAACTGTGGATGAAAGGTAAGGGGCAAAAAGCACAACTTTTGTCACTTGATCAAACAGGTATCAAAGGAAAAGCACCTATTTCATATTTTGATACCTGTTTAGGTATCAAATTGAAAAGCACCTATTTGCAGGAAAATACATCGTCGCTGTATAGCATAGTTCTATCCATGAATACTAATCTACTTCACATCATGCAATGACCACACCAACACGATGCTCTCCATGTGGGACTGAACTGGGTGCATGACACTATTGTGTTCCACAGGACCTAATAAAGTTGTTTTCATTGGAATTAAAATTCATGGAAGGAGGTACGAACTTCCTTGGCGCTGTCGCTCACGAAATTGCAGTTCTTAGCGAAAAATAGGTGCCGGTGGTCTGTTATGCCTATAGATGTATGAAGAAGAGACTAAAAGAATATTTCATTGCAAAATGAATCCTAGAAATTGCAGGCTATAACATTTTGTTACGATGAGAAAATTTCTATTTTTCATATGTTGCGGGAAAAAAATGTTTGCCAGTTTGCAAAGTATTTCACCACATGCTGCAGCATACCAAATCACTAGTAATGAAGTTCAAAAATACAAGTTGTAGAACAACAAAAGTATTCTGGGATGTATAAAAATTTCAAAAGTGCGTAATTCTTGCTTGCCAGCTGATGACCAGCACAATAAAATAAAACACATATGCAAAAGCACTGAAACAAAGAAAAAACGAGATATACATATTTGATATAAGGGACTCAGAAATAGTATGAAAAATTTTAAATATTCTACACAATGCTATTAACGTAGACAAAAACAGTCCGAACTAAAATGCGGCTTCATTGGTCGTGCCATGTGGTGAAGCATTTCCAGCTTTGATGCGAGACACAGGTGCATTTGCGCACTTTTCACATAAAATTTCTTGTTTTTTTAGGAGAAAAGCTTGCTGGTCTTTGTGTACATAAATGCCCGCGAGGTGAAAAATGCCTATAATCTAGATGTCCAGTGAACTTGACAAGTTCGTTTAGCGTCACCTCTTTCCATGAGCCACCTCTGTGCACATAGGATGGCGTTCAAAAATACGCAGCCAAGCATTTGTATTTTTGCAGGTAGTATTGAAAAACAAAAAATGAAATCGCATCATAACGATCGATTGGGTAAGTTGGTGTGCTCCCATTTGGAGCGAGACTATGAAAATGAAGTCGTTCCGTTGAAAATGAAATCGCATGCAGTCTTAGAACCTCTGGCACTGCTCCGTAGTGCGGGGCCGCCATGTTCTCCGGCAGCCTTCTTCAGCGGCGAATGGACACAGCAGCTCCAACATTGTGCACAAAGGTCAGCAGCTGTGCACTAGAGGAAACCACTAGAGGCCGTGAACGAAATCAACTCCTTAATGGCTGTAGATGTCCTAGGCTGACGCAAAACATTGCCGCAATCAGAGATTGAACCTGGGGTGCTGTCACCTTCAGATGCGAAGCTTGTCTTCACTCAATTGAGGTGCAGTTGCAAAACAGTTTCAAGTGGCGTGCGTTTCTCGTGGTGCAGTTTCACATCCATGCGTGCATCACGCCGCCACCACACTGTGTGGCCCCGTGTCTGATATGAACAAGAGAAACAAAACCAGAGCTGCTAGAAACTAGCTGAAAAAACCATCCCGACACGTTATACATGTGGCGGACCTTCGCAAATAATTTCTTTTAAAGTAGGTCTCCTGTGACTCCAAACAACAGTTCTCTAGTGAATAGTCGCCATATATTTCAGGCAATTATTACAGCTCAACACTGTCAGATTACAAGCTGAATTTGACTTGCGATGGTTTTTTTAATTGCAGAACTTTTATGTTACTGAAGCATAACTACGAGCAGCACACATTTCTTTCAAGCCTATTTTTCCAATACATGCACATTGGTTCGCGCAAATGTCTGTTAAATATGATTATCTTGCCAAAACGACCAAATCCAAACTGATCTTAAAAGTTCAGTGGCTGAAATACTAGGAACTGCTAGGCACACGAGCAATTCTTAGCAGAACGTGCAAAAATAGATGATTCAAACCATCAATAACTGGTGATCGATTTGAATAGGCATGGTAACGAAAACGATAAACTCCGTGCGTTGCCGGCCATCACCACTTTGCCATGGCTGTGTGACGTAATGTGCATCATGGAGTGGAGCTGTCGTCTTCTGCCCAAGGTTCCAACACCGCGAATCAGGCAGTTTTTAATTCCAAGCTGAAGAAAGCTGGAACAGCTCCACTGTACGTTTAGCTGACCACGAAACAAGATTGATGGCTGGAATAGACGATTACAAAGCAAGCAGCTTGTTATGTCATGACTCGTGACTGCATCGGCATAGTCAGACACTTGGGCTGCTTGTGTGTTTATAAAAAATTAATTTATAAATTATGTTTCTGACCAAATGCACTGACATAGCTAGCTTGTTTGTGACCAATTAAAAATTAATCTGTAAACCACAGATTTTGAGCGAAAATTGGGTGTCATGGCCCCTTTACTTGGTTAGCAAATTCTGGTACAAATTACAACACAGGCATTATAAAAGGCAAATTGACGCCACGTCAATTACATTCACACAGAAAAGGTGCTGTTTTTGTTCACATTATATTACCATATTTACACGACTGTAAGTCGACTCGAATGTAGGTCGGAAAAAAAAATAAAGGAGCACGATCACATTTCTTTAATATATATATATATATAAAATATTGCGTCCTCTTTATAGAAATAAGTTTTAATCGTCATAAGTAGCACCGATTTTAATGAGTGAGCTGTACAACAATCGAGCGCTAGTGGTCACCGCGAGAACTGCCTTTTTCCGTTGTCTGTTCCAACAGGAATAGGCTTGTAGATTATGGCCTTCTCACGCTTCTTCGGTGGCGCTCCTTCGTAGCCGTAGTTCGCAGCTCGGCCCTTCTTTCTGGGTCGAGCCTTGTTGCTGCCAACATCTGGGACCGAGTTGAGGAGGCTTATATCTTTTTCAAAAATGCTTTAACATCATGAAAAATCTACCAGTACGCCACCAGTAGCAATTAAGTCTTTGAAAATGTATTTAAAGGTTTGTATACAGAGCACTTTGAAGACACCACAAAGTGTTTACAATACACGAATTTCTTCATAGCTCTTACTTGAACATGCTCGCAAATATGGTCTATAAATTTATTTCGAAACCATACTGTTACTAGTGGACTAAAAAAGAAATCGGCACTTATTACTCGATAAGAAGAACACAATACTGGAGGCTTCTTGAGAATGTTGCTAACATTGGTGTCGCAAGAGCAGTAGGAGCTGGAAGGAGGGTTCATTCCCCACAACCTGAAAATTTTCAGTTTTGCTACACTCAAACCTCGATATAACAAAAGAAAACATGGTTGATCCCTCCGTCATAGAATCTGTAAAACACGAAAGGAAAATGTGTTCTTAGAGGAGCAGTATAGAAAGTTTACTGTACATTGTACGGAAGCACAGCAAATAGCGTGCCCGGCATCTGTTGCGGACCCAGGGGCCACGGGTTCGAATCCCATTGACAAATCTTTTTTCTTTGTCTTCTGATCGTGCGTATTTTTCCGACGTCATTTCCGTTACGAAAATACGTTACTGAAATCTTGGTTGCCCCCGGAATAAAACACGTTTGTGTTAAAATAGTCTTGAAGTAGATAAGATTATTAGAAACAACTTTCATAACAAATATTTGGATATAACTTACTATTTAGCAAGATGGGACTGTCATCATAAAGTGTACACAGACCTACAATCACGCAGAAACATACATGAAGCAAGATTTAAACCCCCCCCATCCCCAACCCCTCCAAACTTTCTGGCTATGCCCCTGGTTGCTAACAAAATTTATTCAGAGCTAGCCCTAGATCTGCTGGGACAGTAAGTATACAAAGCACTGACGGATTGAAATGAGTCAAGTTTTTAGTATAGTCGAGCCCTTTATAAGAGACATGCTTGGAAAAGAAATTTTTGTCCTTTACATAAAATGTCTCTCATTAGCAGGGCACCATGTTTGCATTTTCTTATCAACCCTCTTATCAACTGGTGTCTGTTATAACAATTTGTCCCTAACATTAGTGTCTCCTATAGGAAAGTTCGACTGCATAATGTCTGCTATGAGCAACTGCTTGTGATAACTACGTCGCATCATTTCAAATCCAGCCACTAAAGGTACTGTTGGCCCATATGAAAGTGTCCGAGTCAGCAATATGCCGATATGACACTGGACGTGAAAGTATGAGCATTACTTAGCCCTGAATTTCCACACTTCAATGATTACGGTAGATACAACAAAATTCCATTATCATGAATTACTCTGAACCTCTGAAATACCTACTCTGTTATACATATTACATTATAAAAAGTCATGCAGCGTAAACCTTGCATAGTAGCCAAGATGCGAGAAATTCTTCGCAACACAAGCCACTTGTGGAATCATTCAACTGAAGAGTAATTTTTCTCCTTTCCATAATGTAGTGTGGGCACCTCTTGGTCCGCTTAAGCTGTACGTATATAATTGGCAATCTGCCCAATGTGAGGTTTTGGCACCTCGCAGTGCAATGTGTCCCCACTTTTGTATCACAACCACTTAGCCTTTGAGAGCAAAAGGATACTCAAGTCAACGTTCGGAGGCACCAGGAAGCCAAATGACTTGGCCACTTGTATCAGGTCCAGTGTGTTGACGTCAAAAATCGATTTCAGGTGATGCGAGTCATAGGCTCGCACATATGCCTTGTACGCCTCCTTGGCTGACATGTGCAGGTAGTAGTTTTTTGAAATAAGCTTCTCCAACTGCACATACAAATAGAAGGATAAACGCACAAAAACAATGCATGCGGAGAGTGTTTCAATTCCAGCAACATTTGGCCAAGTTGAGGACATTCAAATACACTACTCACGATTATTCGAACTCTGATAATTCGAAATTTCGGTTAATTCAAATAAAATTCAATGTTTTGGTTGGCCCTCTGTACTCTCAACGTATTTAAAGGCCTCTAAATTGGAACTCATCATTTCGTTAATTCATACATTTTGCAGTTCCGTACCGGAACATATCTGCTCTTTTCCCACTACTATTTAAAAGTTTGCGTGCTTATATGATCTTAACAGTCTAAAGATGACAAGTAAGCTCCTTAAGCCTTCGAGGAAAAAGGCTTTGCTAGAAATCAAATGTTTTAAATGAAGCACGTGCATGGTAACCATGATGCTTCTCAACTGGTATAGAGAGGTTTGTGCTGAAGGCACATATAACAAAGAAGCAGTTGACAATTCACGATTTCATTAAAAGGTCTGATCAGCAGAAAATGTACAATAAACGTGTGGACCTTACACTCCTGCTTTTTGTCCGTTGGGTGCAGTTAGGGTTTAAAATGCTTTAAAAAATTTTAAATGTGATAAAATGAATGCCTAATCATAGTCTGTGGTGTCACCTAGCCCAGATTCATATATCCCAGAACTTCTGCTAATTAAAACTTCTTGATAATTCAAACAAAATTTAAAGGTCCCTTCTAATTTGAATTAACGAGAGTTGTCAATATATTCATAATAAACAGAAATTCTTCATAGTGAAACTTTTGCCTAAATGGGACATCACTTCATGGTAGGTTGGCTTTACTATTCATGCAATGCCGAAGAAATACTTGTTAAACGACAGATTATTACAGCCCAACCCACTTATAAAGACCCCAGATATAATGATATATTGGTTATAACGACCATATTTTGGTGCACGAATGATTTTCCTACGCTACCCTTTGAAACTGAGTCCACACACAGCGAACATTTTTTAAAGCCTTCTACTTCTACAACGAACGCTTCTGACATGGTTGCGGTAAAGATACGGTGTGTAGAAAGCGAAAAAAGTGTTAAAACAGGCATTCTTAGCATGAGATAGGCTGCTCGCTCGCGTGTGCCCTGCTGCGAGCCCCGCACACAGACTTTGGACTTTGCGAGCTAGGTTCCTCACTTTCCAGACATTTTTTTTACCGGCACAACGGAAGTAAGGGAAAAAAATAAAAAATGACAGGAAAATAGGAGGCAACATGAAGATTTGCGATCAGCTTTCGCACAGCAGACGTTTATGACACCGTTCTCGGCATCTACGACTGCCGACGATTAACCAACAATGCCTTCGAACCCAAGAAGCCATTAATGCGAGAAACGATAACTTTCACTGCGACGCTCAACTCTGACACCACAATGTGGCGCGAAAGGTTTCGGTAACAGTAGAGATCGGTTGATTAGTAATAACGACTTCCACGCGGTTGTGGCGGTGCCCCAACAGATAAGCATCAGAAAAGAGCGATGACGCGGTAGCCAGTGGCGATGAACGTGCCATTCTGACTCATTGCCAGCAACCTTATCTCAGTCATCTGCGGATAGCCGCTCGGCATAGCGACGGCAGTACAAGTGCGTAATGCTGCCGTTCGCAAGTTCACCGCCGTTGCGTTATGCGAGACTGCTTGCACCCGTTGCTCGCAAAATTCTTTGTTGTGTTAAACGAACAGGCTACTCGCCGCACCAGAGCACAATCACAAGTGAAGCATGCACCAAGAAAGCACACTCGCACATACATTGGACTACAAGCGAACTGGCATGCGACGTCGAGAGCCGATTAAGTGACGTGCTGCAAGCAACTAGCCAGGTATGATTGGTTCGAAGTGGAACGGCGCGAGTTAATTGCGAATGTGGTTAAATTCACTCAGGATCAAACGGGTGTCGTTTAACATGTGAAAAGGCCTAACTTGTCAGCGGAGGGTTTATCGCACTTTTTTGAATAAAAATTCAAAAGAAAAAAAATAGTTTGGCCACTAAGTGAACGTTTTTATGAGTGGGCCCATATACAACGAACTATTGATACAATGACGATTTATCGTGGCACTTTCGAGATCGTTGTAAATGCGTTCGACTGTGTAGTCGAACGAATTCATCTCGCAAATGATAAATGAGTATTTTGTCATTCTGCCTGCACCACCATGGCCAGGAATCAAGCTTGCAGCATTTCGCTGAGCACCAGAATTTCAGAACAATACTGCAGGTACAGTCAACCACAATGGTTTGTGATTCATGCGGGCACATGGCCGAGAGCATTTTTGCAGCATATCTGCAACACCGACGGCGACAGACAACAGCCCTACACCCAACACTATCCCTCCCTTAATTGATGTCCCAGACACGTTCTCAGTGGGCACTGTTAAGGGTCGAGGTTTGATGGCAGGTACGGCGGGTTTTCTTTAGGGTAGCTGGCTCCCCATCGTCGTACGCATAGCCGATCTTCGCCAGTGAGGGGACGCGTTCGTAAGAGAGATAGAACGAAGATTTATTTACATGATACTAGTTGAAAGATGGAACTGCACAGAGATTCCGCATAGAATCAGCAATGTACAAAGATACAGCTCATGATTCAGCATTATGTACAGACAGAGATTCAGCGATTATTTAGAAAATGTCTTCGGCTGTTATAGACTGTCGTCCCCTTACATGGAGGTCCGAAGAAGGCGGGGACCACTCTTGCCACATATCAGGTGACGTGATGTCTCAGTGGTCCACCCACCAGAAAGGATGCAGAAATTGGGCCACTCGTGAGAAGAACGTGGGTGAAAACGTCCAATGCTCATCCACGAGTGCACCACACAAAGACGCACTCGGCCCACACCTTGAAGGCATCGCAGGGCAAGGAGCTAGAGTCCAAAGGGGGAAAGTGAGCTCCTCCGGGGACATAGCCGCTGACACGAACGTCAGCAGTGGTCCATGGCTGCTTTAACCTACAGTGTTTCCAGACCTCTCTCGAACATGGCAGTTCAAACGCTCGAACCCTGAAAAACGCTTCTTCGACGTCCTCCCACGCTTCCGAATCGTAGGAGTTTTGCGATAGCCTCGCGTAGATGACGATAGCCGAGTCGAGAGGATGGCTTCATGAGAACAGCCACAGTGGCGTCGTCCCACGCTGTTCGAGCCCGTTCAACAAAAGGGTTGTCTCGCGAAGCTTTTGTTGAGACCCGAACACAGAGAACTACCTGGAACCTCTACAGGACAGCACCCAGCTGACTGGGCGCCGATGGGGTTGAAAGCATCCTAGTAGCCCAGCTTACACACAATGGCGTGTGCCCAGACGAACCGCCGGGCCAAATGTAACAGCACCAATATTTTCTATGTTTCTCTTTTAATGCGATCTGCTCTTCAGTAGCCATGGCTACATTCTTTTGTCTTGAGAGCAATCTATTGGCATAACACTTATCAATATCGCGATCTTCCTCACTAAGTGATATCTATTGTTGAATTCCAATGGCGGAGTCGGAGCAAGTTTTTCTGCTCCTTTCAGAGCAAGTGTGTTCCAATGACAGAGTGAGAGCGAGAGTCAAAAGTTCCAATGAGAGAGCAGGAGGGGATTCAGAGCGGGAGTCCCTCCGTGGAGCAGGAAAAACTGCTCCGCCGAAATCGGTGGAGTGAACCGGAACTCAGCGTGACGCAGTTCCTTTAACACGTTTGCCTGCTTGGGGGCAAGGCTGGCGCCGCGCCAGCATCACGCAAGTTGTGTTGATAATGGCGGACGGCATGGACGGCTCGGCTACCTCAGCAAAGCGTGCAGCAATGCTTCTGCTACTCGATAGCGAAAGCAGACATCGTGGACAATAGCTGTTGCACGCTTGGCGTGATATCCATTCCACACAGGTGAATAGCGCTGAACAAGCAAACGAACGATGCGGCGATGCTGGTAAACCACAGGGGAAACAGACAGCGGAAAAGATCACGCGCAAGGTATCCTGGGTAACGCGGCAGCTTCCACCTTGCTCCAGCAGGGCGGGTTGTGTTCCGATGGTGGACTTGGAGGATTTGCTCTACGCCAGAGTCGAGGGCTCGCTCGCGAAGTCGGTCGGCTGCACCTACTCCGCCATTGGAATTCAACATATGCAACGGCACAAATTCAAAGCACACCTTGATTACGTACTATGATTCTGCTGTTAAAGTAGATGTGTGAAGTTCATACTGCAGATACCTGCTTTGTGTGAAAGCAGCAAACTAACATTGTGCTGCATGGCAGCAGAGAATCGATATGACATAGAACAACAGGAGGGCCTATTTCTGGCCTAGAGCTGCAGCTGACGATAGGCGAAACACCACTAGGCAGCACATGCAGGAAGTTTATCGTGAGCTCACTAGGTCCGTAAACTTTTGGTGTCAACAGCACTTCATTCTTGCACTCGAATTTCGAGCGGCCACTGCGACGAAAGTGCTCCTGCTGCTGTTGTAGTAAAAAGCTCGAACACTGTGCTGCAACGAACCGATATCCCACTCACCTGGGGCTGAATGTTTGCAATCTTTGCCCACGAGAACTCGAACTCCTGTAGAGGCACCTTGGCCACCTTGAGGTATCGCAGAAATCCAACCTCCTCGGGTCTCAAGATAAGGAGTGCATGGCCACGGCCACCCTCGCCTCTCGCCGTACGACCCACCCGGTGGATGTACTCCTGTATCGATCAGACCATATACACAGCAGTTAATTACACCAATTATTCATCTGTTGTGCTTTTTTTACAAGTATTTTCCACAGCGTCGACCTCACAAGTTGCTCATCGAACTGTGTAAACACTTCATCTTCTTTTATGCCAAAGGGTTTGTGGTCAATAGGAGATGGCAGCCAAACAACAGCAAATGTTTGGCGTATGAATGAAGACGAGCACTCACGTTGAAACATTGGTTCCAGATCAAGCATCCTCTTAGTATACTGATCAACAGTGACCCTAGTCACTGTTGATCAGTATAGATCAGTATACTACTTTTTTTTTTATTTTCCTTGCTTTCACTCAATCTCTCTCAATTTATCAAGCAATCAATAAAAGTAGCTCTAGGCAGTAAAGCCATAGAACTGAGAAGACAGGGAACAAGGAAGAGGACAGAGCGCGAGCTACTCACACTCATTAAGGCAGCACACATCCTGTCCTCTTTTTTTGGCGCGAGTCTTCAGTGCTATGGCTTCACTGAACGTAACAAAGCAAATAAGCTATAAGTCTGTTCTCTTGCTTTATGTGGCTTGATAGAGTGCCTGAAGGCTCTTACATTTTGCACCACACAACATTCACAGCACTAATATGCACATCAGGTCGTAATCACCAGCATACAGAGCGTACGGTGTATTCACAAACTAGTGTTTAGCAAGTGGACACGTTTAGCAACTCAATTTTTGAAAGCCTGGCTTCTTGTAGCATAGAAGTGTGGCAGCTCGGGCAAGTTGGTATGGCATGACGATAGTTATAGCGCGAGAACAAAACGACGACACAGAGACAAGGACACGAAAGACAGTAGCGCTAACTTTCAACTGAGTTTATTGCGCAGAGCACGAAAATATATAGAGGAGACAGTACCCATGTGATAAAAACCATACAGCACAAAGAGCAGAACATGAGTGAGAGAAAAACAAGGGCAGAAAAAAAAAAACAAAAACACAAAAAACGGCAAAGAAAAATTTATAAGAAAACGAGACAGAAAAGTAAAGATAATATAACTACTTGCGCGCACCGAAACCTTCCAGGAACTCTTGTTCTTGTTCTCTTGTTCCTGAAAGGCTTTCTTATAAATTTTTCTTTGCCGTTTTTCGTGCTTTTGTTTTTTTGCCCTTGTTTTTCTCTTACTCATGTTCTGCTCTTTGTGCCATATGGTTTTTATCACATGGTTACTGTCTCCTCTATATATTTTTGTGCTCTGCGCAATAAACTCAGTTGGGAGTTAGCGCTACTGTCTTTCGTGTCCTTGTCTCTGTGTCGTCGTTTTGTTCTCGTACTATAACTATCGTCGTTCTTGTAGCAGTTCCAAACTACGTACATTTTGATTTTTTTTTTTACTTTTCATGGTAAGCGCTGGGATAGTGAACTACGAACATTATGAACAGATGTTGCAAAATTAACAATACCACTTTGCTCTATAACTTGCCTTGGCAGAAAAAAGAAGGTGCTGAAACAAAACCATATCTACAGACCTTGGGGTCATCAGGTGGATCATACTGCACGATCCAGTCAACCTCCGGAATGTCGAGGCCTCTCGCTGCTACGTCCGTGCAAAGCAGAATTCCAGATTCCGCATTGCAGAACTGGAAGAACGTCGTGGTCCGTTTGGCTTGCTTCTGCTTTCCCTGAGAAATTAACACAAAATTGCAATCATTAGATAGCATAAAGCTCTATTTATGACACTTCAATTTATAAAGAATAGGCTAGCTCAAGCTTGTGAGAAAAATATATAGTACAATAATCAAGAATCATCTACATTCCGGCGAGGTGCATGCAAGGCAGTCGGTGGTTGCACGTAGAACGGGTTGGTTACATGAAAGTGGAAAAAGAAGTACGGTACGCGTGATGATTGATACAAGGTATGTCATAGTTGGGAGCTACGGATGAGCAATATTAAACAAATACATAAGTCCACGGATTTTTTTTTCACTTTTGTTTTCATCACAATGAAATCATTATGACCAGAACTAAAATCGTAAGTTTTCAAGCTTAACAGTGTAACATGTTAACTGGCAAGTTATTACCGCGAGTTAAGGAGCACGCTACCATCAATCAAGGCCCACTGAAGAGGACACGGCAGATAGAAGGTAGTGTCCTGCATCTGCGCACGTAGAGGTAACTTGATTAACTGAATGAGTGAGGCCAGCATACTTCGAAGCTCAATTTACAAGATACAATTAGGGCAATTTAATACATCCCTCCTTTTATGGATGCTGCTTCTGTTTGCCGAGTGTCACTTGCTATCAGTTCGAACTTAAAAGCATTGGTAGATTCAAAACATGCACATTACGGGGCAACTCTGAACTCTGTAGAGTGAACTCAGATGAGCTTACATGAATGCTCATGACAGGCAAGTCGATGTAATTCAGCAGTTCATGATGGTACTTCACGGAGAGGCACGAGCTGAAGAACACCATCACCTTTCTTTTTCCGGTTCTTCTTCAGGAAGGTGAAGAGCAGCAAGAACCGCTTGTCTGAAGGGCAAACCACATACCCCTACGCAAAGGAAACAAGTAAACGGTGGTACACGAGAGAACATTGCTGGTAACAAAGTGATTGCTAGCACTCTGGGTCATGTCATAGTTATAATGATACCAAGCTTAATACCGAACTCTCCAACAGCACTGACACACTACTTTTTACTGTTTTCCATAGGAAATAACTCATTATAAATCTTCCGGAGAGTCGAACAGCATAAAAGTACATACTACTCATAAGCAACTTTGATAACCTCACGTTCGTAAAACTCTTTTGCCGTAATTCTCTCTCCCCCAAAAGCGGAAGAGAGGAAAAATATGGGCACCTGAGTGCATTGTATTGAACACTCTACACAGCTTAGACAGAGAACATCGACAAACGGGGCAATCACATACGACCTTGCTTTTTAAAAATGGGAAATGTGATCGTCAGACAAGACTAGAACCAATCAATCGTCATACCTGCTCAAGGCCATCCACTGTAGCCTGCTCCTTGTGCTCATCCAGGCCAATGTAAAGGGGCTCACTCTTGAGGGCAACCTTCACAAGGTCCTCAGTCTTCTTGGTCAGTGTAGCACTAAACAGCATGGTCTGTCTTCGCTCTGTCAACATCAAGAAAACGAAAGTTTAGAACTGTGGTCGCAGAATTCCGATCCTCAATCACATCCATGCATTTGCTTAAGACCACTTCAAAGGCTGCTACAATAAAGAAATGTAGAAAAATAAGTGTGTTCAATTTCCATATGACAGTAGGGCTTCAATAAAATAATAAATACTAGTGAATAACCATGGATATCAGGCACATATTTGTTTTTTTTTTGCTTAAGAGTAAATGTTAAATAAAGCTGTGTGTTCCGTGAGCACCAGTTTTTTCTGTCTATTGACAATTTCATTTCACCACATTTACTGCATCTTAAGAATCGTTAGAAGCATGCTGTGGCAGAACAGGTAAAGAACTTTCATATTTGCAATAAGTTTTGTAACATTTACCAATATGGACTCCATGCGCAGACTCTGAACATTGCACCTGAGAACGCCAACTACAAGGCCGAGTGACAACGATCTAACAGAACTGCAATGTACCGTATAAACGCGTGTAAGGGCCGCACTTTTTTTTTCAGGAAGTGAGGGCTAATTTTCAGGTTGCGGCCCATACACGGAACTTTTTTTGTGGTGAACTAAAAACAACGTACCAGTTAGTGAACGAAGAGCGTTTATTGCAGTATGCCGCATGTGCGCTTAATCGTCGTCACTCGACGAGTCCTCTAACTCGGAGTCGGAGATAGTGTGTTGCGGAGCACCATCATTCCACAAACAGTCATCTTCGGTGCCATCCAGGCTGTTGGATATCCCAGTGACCTTAAAACTTCGGGACACAATGTCCGTCGACACCGAGCTCCACGCCGACAATATCCAACCGAGAACAGTAGCAAGCGGTGCCCTCTTCAGCCGTCCGGTCGGCGTCTGCTCATGGTTGCCGGTTGCCATCCATTCCGTGTAGAGTCTTCGGAATTCAACTTTGAATGGTCGATTCACGCTCACATCCAATGGTTGCAACATTCCTGTGAGGCCGCCTGGAATCACGGCCATGTCTGTGCCGACACGGCGCAGCTGCTCCTTCACCTTATCGGTAAGGTGGCCGCGGAAACTATCCAATACTAAAAGTGAATGTTTGGCCAACAAAGCTCCCGGCCTGTTCTACCAAACACTTTTCACCCAGTCTAGCACCAAATCATCGTTCATCCATCCCTTCTCTTGGGCTCTAACTATGATGCCCTTGGGGAAAACTTCGTTGGGAATTCTTTTCCTTTTCAAAACAACGTACGAGGGTAGCTTCCGCCCGTCCGCGGTCACACAAAGCATCACGGTGCAGCGTTGGCGCTCAGCGCCGGTGGTCCGCACGGCGACACTCTTCTTGCCTTTTACTTCGACTGTGTAGTTCTCGGGAGAGTCAAACCACACAGGAGTTTGATCAGCGTTCGCTATTTGCGACAACAAATAACTGTGCTGATGGCGCAGGCCGATGACATGCTTGTGAAAACTAAGCACCTTGTCGGTATAGTCTTCTGGCAGCCGCTGGCACAGCGTGGTCCTTCGCCGAAAAGAGAGTCCCTTTCTTTTCATAAATCTTCGCACCCAGCCAGCACTAGCCTTGAAATCCCCGGCCGGTATATTTTTCGCACGTGCCAAGGCTAGTGCCTTCATGCGCAGCATGTCTGTAGTGAGCGCAAAACCATCGTTCCGCACCTCAGTCACATAGCGGAGCAACTCCTCTTCCAAATCGGGATACTTGCACTGTTTTCCTCGGAAAGCGCGCTTTTTGATATTGGTGTTCTGCAAGGCTTTCTTCTGGGCGCACCAACGTCGAACACACTTCTCGTCAACGTCGAATTTTCTGCCGGCGGCCCGTTTCCCGTGCTCGAGGGCAAACTCGATCACCTTCAACTTATAGCCAGCTGTATAGCTATTCAGCTGCTTGCCCATCGTGCGAAAACGTAAACCTCGCGCAGAAAACTAGCTGGAGTCCTAGAGTCATTCAACGGTGCGCAAAACTCGAGCACATGGCAGGCTGAACAGCACAATGACCAAACCACGTTTATAGAGGAGGTCGTGGACCAAACAACGCACAAATACCAAAGTTGGTGATGCTAATGCCGATATGGATAGCGCGTTTGTATAGAAGTGTCAGAAGTTAAATATAAAATCCTGCTTTAACCTTTAGTTGGCGGGTGTATGAACACTACTAAAAAAATTAAAAATTTTTATAGCCAACTTCGTGAACATATTAGCATGAAGAAAACCAACAAATTATTCTAATGATGTACTATATGATGATGATGAGAATTGCGTTCCCTAGCGCCATCTACTGACAACGCGTAGTACCTCACACACGCGCGCGCATTTTGAATACGCATGGGTCAAGGAAAGTGCGGATGCGGCCCTTACACGCAACTTTTTTTTTTTTTTTGAATATGTGCTTCTTAAAAACGGGATGCGGCCCTTACACGGGTGCGGCCCTTACACGCGTGTATACGGTAGACGTGTCCTGTAGTGTTACACATTGTGTTTGTGTGATACAACACTCGAGAAGTAGCTTTCTAAATTTCTTTTTTTCTTGTATTAACATATTTTCTAGCTTTCAGACTGTCAAGGCATCAGTTTCAAGAAAAGCCATGTACTTGTACCACACTAAGCATACGCCTATGGTGGTAGCCAAGTGAGATGTCATGCCATATTTATGCCATGACAGCATGCTAAAGAATGAGCCTACTACAGCCACAGCTTTTGCGAAGCTTTCCCACCCCCCCACTCTTTCTCACCATTTAACAATAAAAGCTCTGGCGCTGATAAAGGAGCTACAATGAATCCCAAACGACAAAAGGATTTGAAAGGTAAGAACACTTACTCGGCAAAATTCTGAGGATTTGCTTCACCTCTTCTTCGAAACCAATGTCAAGTATTCGATCAGCCTCATCGATTATAAGGCATTGTAAATTTTTGTACACGAATTCCGAGGTATTCTGAAACAAGACATACAGAGCCAAAAGTTAATCATTACTGAATGAGCCCGATGACCGTAATACAATATATTGGGTTCTTATTAAATTACAATAAAACAATCCTCAAATGTTGATACCATTCACGGTGATGATTATATGAAAAGATTAGTGCCTCATTAAAGCCCAGTAAAGCCTCGTTAATTCGAACCGATTTAATTCAAACTTTCAGTTATTTCAGACCGATACTCTGGTCGTGCCAGAGCCTTGTGTAGTATTTCTATGGTAGAAAACTCCCGATTACACTAAACCTCATTATAAACAAGTTGCATCTTACACGAAAATAAGTTTGTTACATATGAAACTTCGTTATAAAACAGGGTTCATAGCACCTGAGTGAAACGAAATTCAAGGTTTTTCAAGGAGTTTCAAGGACCTAACAAGTATTTTTCAAGGACATAAAATAACACTTAAAACAGCAGAAAATGACAATGCCACTTCTTACAGCATAAAGATTTGTACTTTATTTTGTACGGTTGGCACCATGGATTGTAGTCACTTTTGTGTTCTCAATGTGTTTCGTACTCTTCATGTGACATTTAAGGGCAGACTTCCCCATAGATGACACATCGAAACTCTTCCCACGTGGGAAAACTTTGCCTGTTGCGAGTTTGACGTAACAGGCGCAATCTACTCCCTATGAGCGGCAATGCATAACCAAAACGGCTGGAATTCGCACTTGCCCGGCATAGTTCCACCACAAGTGACGCGACTGCGAATATCCGCACAGTCTCCACAAAAAAGCCAGGCTTATCTCCGTCGTTGCTGCTGTAACCGCGCAAGTGCTACCACAAATACAGTGTACTAGAAGAGTACACTGTACTACAACACTGCAATATAGATAGAGAAACGGACTGGATTAGATGGTTTGCACAGTTGCTAGGCGAACAAAAACGTCCACCAGATTATGGCTGAACGAATTTTGATGAAATTCAAGGACTTTTAAGGACCTCAAACAAACTTAAGGATTTTCAAGGCCTTAAAAGTGCCAGTTTGAAATTCAAGGGTTTTCAATGGTTTCAAGGACTGCTATGAACCCTGTAAAAGGTATATTCCTAACACTGCACCAAATGCAAGACTGTTTTTTATTTACACTATTATAACTGATATTTCGTTATATCTATGTCTGTTATATCGAGGTTTGAGTGTATTCGAACACGTCGGATTTCACAACAGTTAAATTGAACTTCGAACAGCCCATTTTCATTGCCCCTTGCAAAAGTTATACCACAGTGATCACAATGTGTTGCGAAACCAAACAACCAAACCTAATTCACTAGTGATGCAAAACAACGAGATTGCTGCATTTCTCAGCGGATGGGAATTCGGACACTGAGCTGGAGCTTTTGGATAAGCTGCAAGATGTTCTGGAGTCGCAATGGAAGAAACGCAAACAAATGAAAACTGCTGATGATGGCATGGGGTGCAAAAGAAAAAAAAAAAGGTGTGGAAAGACATTAACAATAAAAGATACATTCTAAAAAATGTAGCAGAAGTCATCATATGCAATATCAAGCTTTGTCGTTCTTGTTTACGTGGTAAACAATGATTGCTATTTACAAAGACTGGCATTAGGTCAACACCGTGCAAAGGATGGTCGAGGGGCACTTGACTACGAGATGAGAACGAAAACGTCGACAAGAGAAGTTAGCGGGGAGTGAGCTCAAAGCCCTTTAGCTCGCTCCCCGCTTTCATTATTCTTGAACGGTCATCAATGATGTGCAAAGATGAACCGACGGACCTGCAAGTGGTCGAGCAGTCGTCCCGGGGTAGCAACGAGAAAGTTGACACCCTTGGCCAATTTGCTGGCTTCGGACTGCCGGTTGGTGCCTCCCATGATGAGGCCCAGCGTCTGGTTCTGGCCCGATAGGAGCTCCTGGAGCACACCAAACGTCTGCATGGCCAACTCGCGAGTCGGTGCGATCACCAGGGCCCCCGTGCCATTGCGGGGCATGAACTTAAGCTTGTAGAGCAGTTCCACGGCGGGGATCAGGAACGCCAGCGTCTTGCCACTGCCTGTTTTAGCGGCAGCCACCACGTCCCTGCAAACAAATCGACATTGAAAGAGGGGGATACTTCTTACGGAAAGGCAGACAGGTAGGCCCGAGTCACTGTATAGCTTGCTCTGGTCTGCACTGAAGAGGCAGGACAGAAAAGAAAAGGTGTGATGACAGAGCAAGAGGCGGAGATGCACACTATACATTGCCGTGTTGTATGTAAGGCTATACGGTATGTCTAGTCGAGAGGCCATGACAGATCAGTTAGCACCATTGTGCTATGCATTTGTTATACGTGGAGCACCTTGAAGAAAGTAATCTCATCAAAGGGAGCATTTTTTTTTTTGCGCCTGTGCACAGTTGCAGTGAAATGCCCACATTGAGGTTAAATACATATTCTACGAATGTGCCATCCACACTAAACAAAAGCAAAAAACAATATGACGAAGGATAAAACCAGGTGACAAAAAAAAAAAGAAGCATGTGGTTGAGAAGACAGTCATTTATATGCACAGGTGGCACCAGTACAGCAAAACCTTAATGAACATGAACTGCTACCTAAACAAAAGTACCTTTTCTTTGGTTGGTATTGAATATGGGTTGTGTCCTCCCTAGAGTGAATGCTTCTCAGTAAATAAAAGTTTCATTAAAAAGAAACATGATTCTACAATCATTTTGGGTTTCAATTAAAAAGATTCCGCCGTAGCTGTGACAATATATAACCTGCACTTTGCCAACTCACTTTCCCTCCAGCAAATGTGGAATGCTCTTGGCCTGAATCTCAGTCATCCTTTTGAATCCCATACCATCGATGGCCTTCAGTGTGGCGTCAGACACCTTCCCATGCAGGGAGCTGAACTGAGTGTCCGACAAAACTCCGAAGCTTGTGCCTGGTACTGTAGTAGAAGAAAGGCAGAGAGGCAGTGAAAGTGCGATTTTACTCAGCGACATGAGCTAAGAGACTATTTCCAGCATATGGAAACAAGTCATACTTGGGCGATGGTCTAGAGTTAAAGCTACTAATATGCTCTCGTCAAAGAGGCAATTTTAGTGATACCTCTAGTGTACTAATGTTGCGGCCTTTACAAAAAAAAAGCAGTTTACTTAGGCTGTTAACACAAAGCAACGAAAGAAATCTGGAAAATATAAGTATGTGATTTCATAGTACTTGATGTTGGGTGTGCAATCTCATTAAAAGTAAAACATAGCTAAAAATTGCACACATAACAAAGCATGGCAATGTTTTATGCATGGTCATTAAATTTTTAAACTACAATAAAACCTCGTTCATTTGAAGTCACTGGGAACATGAGAAATCTTCGAATTACGTGGGTTTTCAAATGAACAGAATATACAAAAAGTGGGATGCAAGTAATTTGGGCTCGTCGTTTGCGGTCTTAATTTTGCCGCGAGCGCGGGAGAAGAGCGGGCTTCGCTGCCGCCACTGAGCAGCATGTCGCCTGTTCCTCGCTGCGTCGGCACGTCATAATGCAACCATTTGCCCGTTCTTTCTGGTAAAAAAGAAATTTAATAATGGCCAGTGTGACGAAATTTGCTATGTGTTTTGGCTGGAAAAAATGATCACTGAAACTTTAGAGCTTAGTTTTTGAAGTAGGCGTTGCAGGCAAGAACTCCGCCAGCAGGCAACGGGCGTGAATTGCTGAAGCAACCAGCAATCGGAGGTTTGCATATATTGCTAATTCCATCAAACTGTCCTTTATTAACTTTACAATATCAAAAAGAATGGTAAATCATGACCCAGTGACGTTGTGAGAAACGTGCGATATTCTGCCCGCGCGTCACTGCTGTGTTGCAGTGAAGCACGTCTTGTTTTCCGCAGGCACACATTTTGGTTAACAAGACCGTTCCCCACCCCCATCCGCTGGAAGCAGCGAGGCTGGGATGCTTCAGCTGCCACACACTAGTTTCGCCAGGTCCCATTGCCATGTGGCTCTTAAGTGCAGTCGTTTCCGCGGATTTGCGGCAAAATCGGGATCGGGAATTGGCACATGGCAGCCAAAGTTTTCGAATGAACCAACCTCGTGCTGACCGGCGCTTCAAATTATTTGCTCAGTCTTACATTGTAGAATATGGGACAGTGGAAATATTTTGAATCAAGCCACATTTCAAAATATTCAAAGTTTGAATTAACAAGATTTTACTGTAGTTGTAGAGCATTTCACTCAGTGGCCATCCTCTTAGATCCAGCATTAATTATTTGTTGTGATAATCTTGTCAACTGATACGAGACTTAAGAGAGCTGTTGCTTGCTCGGCTGTTTATTTTGCCATCTAAAGTGACACTATCATACAGTGTTTGAGAGCGCGGATTAGTGCAGCGAGTGTCACTTTGGCAGCTCACCTGCTATGGATTTGGTAAACAAGTTCCATTTATCATTTGTAGAAGTATCTATGCACAAATCACTTAGCACACTGCCCATGTACGTTTTAGTTCTGGTAATATATGAAATTCTACAAAATTATTATATATTGATAAGTGAACACGAGATGGTGTCAACCCCAACAATATACTGCACATATTCACCTTAAAAAATGTGCTTGATCGCACAAAAAATTGTCTCTTCGTGCTTGATCGCACAAAGACGAGGCGTGACAACTGTCTACAAATGCTGTTAAAGAAAGCAAGCTTACGAGGTTCTGGCTCTGTTTCAGCTTCTTCAGCCTTGTCAGTCTCTGCCTCTCCTTGATAACGAAAAAAAAAAAAAAGAATCAAATTAAACTCTGAGGTTTTACATGCAAAAACCATGGTGAGGTTATAAGGCACACTGTATCAGGTACACCTCATGAATCCCAACGATCAGAAATTCTCTAATGTACACCTGAATTCATACACGAGTGTCGCTCCATTGTTCCCTAATCGAAATGTGGCCGCTGTGGCCAGGAATTGGGCGTTTCCTGCCCCCTCCTTTGCTCAAAACAAAAATATTCACGTGTAGTAGGACTGTATTAAAAAAAAAAACAGGAGCAAAAGTTTGCCTGTTTGTCTAGTCGGTGCTTTATTAAGAAGACAAACAGATTGAGCGAGTTGGTGAGGTTACATGATATCAGCGTGAAGTCACAGGTTCTACGCCTGTGACCCTCTTGCTTGTGTTCTGTATATTCTTCGTGCTTTCAATACCTTGTACTGGTTGGTAAGTGGTGCTTGTCTGTGCCCCTTTTATTTTTCTCTGTCTTTGCTGTCTCACACTGTACCAAACATTCTATTACTAAGCCCTAAGACATGGCAGCCAACAGATCACCAGAACAAGAATAACATTAACAATTTATTCCTTTTTCTTTCAGAAAGTAATATATGCTAATCATAGAAATAAAGTATGCGTGCCCGTCGGCCATCTTGCCAAGCAATTCTCAACTTCTCCTCCCTCTTTTCTTTATGAATTAGAGGTGAATTAATCAAAAGGGCAACATATTTTCAAGCATTGCTTTCTGCACAAATGATTAGTACCACCAGGCTCTTGAAAATGAAGATATTCACAGAGAACCTACTTTTAAATTTTACAAAAAGGCTGCTGCTACTTCGAATATCGACATGCTGATGCTGTTTAAACAAAAATCTTCAGCAGTTATAACTACTGCATTCTGTATTCATGTCACGGATTTGGGTGGCTGCAAATGATGAACCGAGACAGGAAAACCACATTTAATGAACACATGCACGGTACTCGTGTACAAACAAATGCCACTAACCACCAAATGAAACCAAAGCTATCTATAAAGCGGACTACAAACTGAACTATCCTAAACAGCGTCAGGCAACTCTAGCTTACACGATTCGTGCCGAGCTCACTTGACCCAGGCGATTCGCGGCTTGTCAATGTCCTGGCTCGGTCATGCTGCATCACTGTGGGGATTCTCGATGCTCTCGACAAACGCCGCTGTCCCTGCCACTGCCGACGTGGCTACCCGTCATCGTCCCTCGATGTCAGTAATGTGGCGTATGCCTCGGTGGTTGGGCCTGGCAGCGTTCGTGGTCACCCGGTACTGCGAGCAGACGTAGCCCTCCGGAGATTGTCTTCGTCGGTTTGCTTCAAAGGGGGCTTGCACCAGGAATGTCAGGCATTTGCTGTGTGCACCTGCTGCATCCCAAGCAGCCTCCCTCAAAGCATGTAGAGCTCTCTGCCTACCGGTTTACTTCTCAGGACGCCCGCGCCAAAGGTTGCCGAGTCAATGTCCTGCCGCTCCCGTCGCCAGTGCGCTTGCCGGTGATGCGACTTTCTCCTTGCAAGCCCACATCGACAACGACAGCGAATCGTTTGCTCGCTTACCGCGCAGAGCTTGGGTCACCCGCGCCGTGCTTCACTTTATGATGCGCATGCTCACACAGTACCGAACATTGTCTGAACATTGTTGTCCTTTTTCTTCTGAAGGGCTCTTGCTCATGACATACGCCCCCTTTTCCAAGAGTTTTGTCATTAAAAGGTGCTTTTCGCCATTATCACGCTGTTGCCATAATCTTGGTCCTTAATTTATTGCATTCTCTTGTCTGGTGTTCACTTATACTTGCACTGACCACTGGTCAACACGAAGCACTTTTGGGAACACATCAACCACTACACTGCACGTTTGGAAAGATCTGCGAGTTCATTGTCCTTAGCACTTTTTTGCTACACTCAGAAATTTAACTACAAGAAGATTGCAACCCTTACAGTTCCCAAATGTGCACAACTTCATTGTGTACGGAACTGAGCTTCTAATAAAGCCATCTATAGACCTACTTCCGACAAAGCCCACCAGGCAATTTTTTTTCCTCTAGAGCAACCACCAGTTTGAGATAACCCACTTCAATTGGTGCTTTTAGACCCTCCGCGTCTTCTTTAGTTTCTTTCTACGTTACTCGCGACCCACCGTCTAAGACGCTTGATACAGCTGATGCCTCTGCTTTTTTGTCCTCCAACGCCCCTTCGCATCATCTTTCACAGCCTGTGTCCAACCTCGATATGTAATGCTGGTTTTTTGCCCTGCACTCTCCGCATCCTCACAGTTTGAACAAACAATAGGCATTGTCGCCTCAATCTTTCCCCTTGCCTTAGGCTCTACCATTCACAACATGGGCAGCCTTTCTTGCATCCTGAAAGTTGCTACTAGTTCTTAGCAAGTTTGAATATCTCTTTTCCATTACTCTAGGGTATTTAACATCATGCATCTCCGGCACTCAATTTTGTTACCCTCTAGTACTATAGCTTACGAGCACTGAACCCTGGTTTCTTCTGCAGACATGCTAATCAATAAATAGCTATGCTCTGTTTCTTTGTCGTATCTAAGCGCCGTGTTCTCATGCTGCATCCCTTTCCCAAAACTGGCAGTGTTTGTAAAATTTGAACAGTTTTCATTAGGCTGACTACATAAGAATGTGCTCTCATTTGCACATTTAGCACACTCTATAACGCTTCGCTAAGCTGCAACAAAACACTGAACAACAGGTGCACAAACTCCTTGAACTAAAATCTCTGTCAACATCATTTCATCTGGTGTAATTCCCCTTTTAGCTAGCACCAATGGCAGTTCGCACTAGAGCTCCTACTTTTATAGTGTATAAGCTTCTAGCACTAGGGCAGATTCTGCCTAGAGTTCGGCACGTTCCGCCTCTAACTCTTGTTAACGGCGCTCCCTCTGTTCTTCGCATGCCCTTTTCTTATTGAGTTTCTGCTCCTGAATGACCATTAAGATCTTGTCCCAATCCATCTCTACAACAACCGCGAATCAGTGACTGGGCCAGATAAAATCCTGGCACGCTCGCCAACTGCCACGGAATCGAGTGGCTGCTGGATGAACCTGAGACAGGACTCTCTCAAGGGCACACCACATTTAATGAACACACGCACAGTACTCTAAGAAGTATAGAAAAATGTACAAACAAATGCCACTAACCACAAAATGAACAAAAACTATCTACAAAGCCGTCTACAAACTGAACTGTCCAGAACAGCGTCGGGCAACTCTAGCTTCACAATTCGCACAAACCTTAGTTGATCCAGCTGATTCGCGGTTTGTCAATGCCCGAGATTGGTCACGCTGCATCACTGTCGGGATTCTCGACGCTCTTGACAAACGTCGTCGCTCCTGCCGCTGCCGACAAGGTCGTCCGTTGTCGTCGTCGCCTGATGTTGGTGACGTGGCATATGCCTGAGTGGTTGGGCTTGGCGGCGTTCGGGAACACCCTGCACTACGAGCTGACGTAGCCCACCGAGGAGTGTTTTTGTCTGCTTGCTTCAAAGGAGGCTTGCACCAGGAACGTCGATGCTTGCTGTGTGTGGCTGCTGCAGCTGGGGCGACCTCCCTCAAAGCAGGTTGAGGTCTCTATCTAGTTCGCGGACACCCACGTCACAGGTTGCCGAGTCGATGTCGTGCCGCTCCCTTCGCGAGAGCGCTTGCTGGTGATGCGATCTTCTCCTTTGAAGCACACCGATAATGTCAGTGCATCATTGCTCGTGTGCCGATCAGAGCTCGGGTCCTGCGCCCGTGGTTCACCTTATGATGTGCACATTCATGCAGCACCGAATGTTGTCTGTACTTCGCTGTCCTCTTTCTCCTTTTTTTTTTTTTTCTGGCCCCGCCGCGGTGGTCTAGTGGCTAAGGTACTCGGCTGCTGAGCCGCAGGGCGCGGGTTCGAATCCCGGCTGCGGCGGCTGCATTTCCGATGGAGGCGGAAATGTTGTAGGCCCGTGTGCTCAGATTTGGGTGCACGTTAAAGAACCCCAGGTGGTCTAAATTTCCGGAGCCCTCCACTACGCCGTCTCTCATAATCATATAGTGGTTTTGGGACGTTAAACCCCACATATCAATCAATCAATCCTTTTTTTCTGAAGAGCTCTTGCTCATGAGAATTCAATTTATGATATCGCAGACACTGAACACAAATTATTCTCCCACATTGTGAACAAGTGCTCACAACGTACTGCATTGTCACCCACTAAAAGGTCATGATGATACTGATCAACAGATGTGATCATTTTACATTTGTGCAAACTCTATGAGGAACGCAATACAAAGAAACAGTTTAAGGCTGTGCAACAGTGCCCTTACCGCCTTCTCCGTGTTCTTCAGCACACTCTTCTTGAGGCTGGTCCTCATGCTCCTCCTCGACCATTTTCGTTTCATCTTCTTCCTCCTTTTCTAGCTTTATTTTCTTGGCTATAAATTAAAATTGAACGAAAAACAATCTGTCATCTCATTGCAATAACGAGCTTTCTTACTGATTGGCCAACACAGAAAAGTATTTTGCATGGCGGCCTCAAAATTTTAAGAATAAAAAGAGGAAGATATGACATGAATGTATTAAAAATAATCAAATCTGTAGGCTCAGCAATTTAACAAAGAGAAACTAAAGATGTACACCATACAAAGAAAGAAAGTCTTGCTCAGATTTGCGATACAATTACAAAAGAGTATAAGCACTTTATAATATTTTGTATTAAAAATAATCAAATCTGTAGGCTCAGCAATTCAACAAAGAGAAACTAAATATGTACACCATACAAAGAAAGAAAGTCTTGCTCAGATTTGTGATACAATTACAAAAGAGTATAAGCACTTTATCATATTTTGTATTAAAAATAATCAAATCTGTAGGCTCAGCAATTCAACAAAGAGAAACTAAATATGTACACCATACAAAGAAAGAAAGTCTTGCTCAGATTTGTGATACAATTACAAAAGAGTATAAGCACTTTATCATATTTTGCTTTCAGTGTACCCACTCCAGAAATATCTTGCTATGCAAGATGCCAATATCTGTAAATAAATAAATAACTTAAGTTCTGTAAATAAATAAATAACTTAAGTTTAAAGCCAGTGCTCGAAAGAAATCTACACTGACCTTTCGAAACAGTGATATGGTACTATAATTGATCAGCATCGAGGGGGAAAGCCCTGGGCTCTGCATGCAAAAAGTACGTGCTGGTATGCAACGCTTCTCTCCTTATTGTCACGTCCCACGTACACAGAAGACAAACAAATGGATACGATTTGTTGAGAACAAATCTAAGGCCAGAATCGGTAGTAAACTGCGCCAAGGTTGTAAGGCGACATTTCGTTTCCTACTGTGATGCTACTGCATGTTTGTCAAACTTTCCGTCCTCAATCGCTATCTGACCGTAACCTAACCTTATGACATACCTTACTAAATGCAGACACGTGTAGGTTCAAATGTCTCAAATAGCAGACGCATGTGTCAAACGCGAACACATGTAGGCCTACGTGTAGACACACGTAGGGAGCCGAGAGTGTATGTACTACTTCACGAACTGTATGACATAGCGTACGGTTCACAGATCAGTCAAAATATGAGCCTCGTTAACGCCAATACTTGACCTTTTCGACATCTTTATTACACATTTACAGGCTGCATTTTGCGAACTTCGAAGCGACACGGACAAGCACCAAGTTGCATGACGTATTGAGCGAGACCAACATTACCAGACTTCCAGCTTACCTTGTCCACTTTCGCAGTCCAGCTTCTTCACAGCCCGTAACTTTTTTCTGTTCTTCTGACGCTTCTTGATCTTCCGCATGACCACCTGATCAGGGATTGCCATTGCTAAAAACAACGGCCTACGAGCGCGTACGCACCGCACCACGCTACCGAAAGTGCAAAGAAGGAGCCTTTTCTCGACTTTCCTAATGTTGGCCAGTGTCAGCTATAAGAACTCTTCCAAGCCAAACTAGCGACTGAAGCGCAAGGCAGTAATCCAGTGCAAGGCGAGCCGATATGAGACACATTGAAGAAAGCGCGCAGACGCAGCCGTTCTTTTGCGCGGTTGTCCTGTTGTAACGGGTGTACTGAACGGTTGAAGTGGTAGGTGTTCTCTAACGGTAGTAACTAGTAACCGCGCAAATTGTTAGCGTTGCGGCTGCTGCCAAAGGCAGCATGCGAACGTTGCATTTAGGATCGGCATCTAGGATGACACTTGACAACGTCTTGCAGCCGTACTGGGACTGGGGTCAGTATCATCCTGCCGAGGCTCCTGCGTGCTTTACAATTTCTGCGAACTTGACCAAAGAATGGGAAAAGTACCTGAACAGCTGCGGTGTTTTGACGCCGCCCGGCGAGCACAGAATACTGTCCGAGCGGCTCTTGCTTCGGGAGGCGCTGTGGATGTTGCGCGGTACGAAAGAACTGTTCGCCTTTTCCTGGAATGGGACAGAGTTTGTCGTCAACGATAATTTCAAGTTGACGCACCTTACCCAAGCAGCAGTGAAGAACTCGCTGGAGGAAGTGTGCCGCTGTGCGTCCTACGTAGCTCATTTGCAGGACTTCATTTCAGCGACTGCGGGTGTCGGAGAGGAGACGTCTGTGGTGACGCTTACTTACCAAGCCTTTGCGAACTCTATTTCGGAGCAACTGGCGCCATACAACAAACGCCTTGCGGAGATTGAAAAATTGCTCATAAAGCAGGAGGAAACGTTTACGCTTCTGATGCTGTTTAGGGACATGCATTCTTATTTTGAGAGTGTGAGGCATATGCATGACATTTACAGCTGCATTCTGCCGAGTGATTCTACAACCAGCCCCGTGCAGAGCACAGTCAAGCTGCTCTGTGTTCTCGAGCGGGCCTTAGAAAGTGCCACAGTTTTAAGTCAACACAGATCGCAAACGGTCAGCTTGTACTTGGATACATTGAAACCCTTCATTGACTTTGTCGATGAGCTGAGCAGCACTGGAAAGCTAACTGATCCGTATCAAGAGTTCCCTATCAGACGCGCTCGTGATGTTACGTTTGAAGACCCGACATACTGGAAGACATCTCTCTATGTATGCAATTCATACTACTTGAATACTATCATGGGATCGCACTTACTGCCACTCACATCAGCAGGCAAATCGATTGAGCACCTGATGCATGCAATGCAGAGCAAGAACGTTGTACAGAAGAGTATTCTGGGGACGCTATACACGTCCATTATCAGCAACATACCTTGCTCTGCAAGCAAAGTTGAAAATGAGGCAAACCAAGCCGCAACTTTGACAAACGTTTCAGAGCTATTTGAGAAAATAAATCAATGGACTAAGCAAATTGGTTTCTTTGACCTGACTCACGTGGCCTCCGAGAACATGTTGGTGAAGACGGGTAGCGTAACATGCAATTTGACCTGCACACTGTATCAAATTCAGCAAGCTGTCACAACTGCGGTGACGGAAAGGTGCCGTCGGAACAGTGCCAAGTTCCTGCGTTACCTCCAATCTGATTGCGAGCTTCCCAAACAGATTGACACCGTTCATAGTCATTTCCTTATGTTTGCCGGTGAAGTCATGCACATGTTCACCTTTGAGGTGTTCATGAAGCTTTTGTCAGACACTCCAGAGACCTGGCAGAGCTTGTCATTCTTGAACTTTGCCCTCCAGGAAGCACTGTCTTGTCACTCCCGACCTGTTTCTTTCTTAAAGAAGTTGAGCATGAGACTGAGAGGGAGCTTTGCCAAAGCACCCCTGGAAGGTTTTGACAATATTGTCCTTCGCTATGATGTGGCCTGGCCAATGTCGATTGTGTTGACTGAAACCACCCTCGATTTGTACAACCGGATCTTCGTCTTCCTCTGCAAGGTGAAATGTGCCAAGTTTGCTCTTGAAGAACTTCATTTCCAGGAGCTCCACAAGAGTTGTGTCAAGGAGACAATGGCCACGATGCGGGTTGCTCACTTTCTCCAGTTTCTGAGATTTCAAGCACTAACCTTCCTCAACTCCTTCCATGCATGTCTTATGCAAGAAGTCCTGCATAGCAGTAAATTAGCCTTTGACAAGGAACTAGACAGTGCTGCAGATCTAGATACAGTCATCAAGTGCCACGAAGGCTTCGTTGCCAAAGTGTTTCGTCAGTGTCTGCTGAGCGACCAATTCAATCAGCTACGAGAACCATTGCTCTCTTTTCTCAAGCTTTGCATCAAGTTTCATGTCCTCTGGAACAGAGGTGTGGAGAATATACGTTTGTCTGAAGTCAAAAGCATTCACAACGGCTTCGTATGCCACCATGCTGATTTCAAGGCCACAGCGATAGCATATGTGAGGCGAGGGTATGCAGACTCGTCGCCGTTGTTAACATTCTGTCTTGATACACCCTATTTACGCGCTCTATCAATCGACGGTTCCTAACCTTGTAGACATTCTCTGCTTCCTATATAATAATTGAAATGTTCTATGTATTCGACTGTCTTCCTACATATTGTACAGGCATTTAATCCTGTGTTTAATGAAAACAACCTTCAACTTTCCCATTTTCTAGTAATATAATAAATGTATCTGGGATGTTCTCATGCCACATCGTTGAAGTCCATCTCTCTCTCTCTCCTTTTTTGAGTACCAAGCATTGGTGCACGAAAAATGTGGAGTTGCAAGAGTCAGTAAAGGTGCGTATTGCATTGATTTATGTGGTTCAATTGGGATTCAGATGTTGCATTATAAAGCAGCAACACAGAATTCGGTGCTCTACAATGGCAAGCACCCAACCTCAACTGCTTGATTCACGGATGTTAGCACCCATCATTATTAGACTTTACATACTAAGTTAAAGTTGCGTGTGTATTTTTGACACCCTATGCTTGAGGGCAAGCTTAAAAAAAAAGACAAAAGCAAGCAAGACTAGCATCCACAAAGTGCAGAATAGTTCTGCCAATAATAATGTTCCGTGGTATTTACCACTGTCAGTAAAGCCAAATTATTGCACTTCTGCCTCGCATCAATTTGTGCAAATTGCATAAAATTTAGATTTGACACGGTACAGAATAGTTTTAATAAAATAAATTGGCTCAGATGTTTCCAAGTATCAGCATACTGTTCCCTAAACAACTGGTCATGTAAACAGAACAAATAGAGCTATTCCCAACTCATGTGGCGCATTAGAGTGCGCCCCCTTCATGTCTGGAGTTCCAAATCTGCTCGTAGACGTCAATATGTTAGAAAATCTGAAATTTTTTATGCTAAAATTTTTGCCGTCGGGTTTTTTCGGACTTCCTAGAGCAATTTCGGGACCAGAACGGCACTAATGGAGCCACCCACCTGCACCTCATCTATCATCTCCATGTTGGAACCAGCATTTTGCTGAGAATACATTTGCAACCGTAGCAGAGCCTGAAGGGCAGCTTTGCTACAATAAGAGTGCCAGATGAAATGAAGCATAATAAAAATCTGGAGGGATCACTCTCAATTCAACATGACTGTGTCTTTACAAAGTTCGTATAAAAAATTCCCCGTGCAAATTGAATAGCAAGCACTATTTTAAAGATATTCAAAATTTCAAATATTCACCCACCTCTAATGACAACTTATAATATGGCTAAGGAGTGCAACTCAGCACAGCTTCATTATCCTCATCGCTACAGCGATGCCAAGGTGTCCGACGAAGTTGGAAAGGTAAACAGTTCAGTGGGATGTTTTCTCAGACCTTGGTGGCAGTAAAAGATGCTCGAGTTGTCCTTGATTGCATCATGAATGACTCTAGTGGCTTTGAATTACCATCGCGAGTACTACTGCATCTAAAGGAATGCAAAACAGCAGAGGGCAGAGATTCTGCACTCTTCGAATTTCTTTCCATCACCCCTGTAGTACATGTTTTGCATCTAGACTACATTTCCCAGATGCGATCAAGCACGCTTTCTTGAACTGATAATGCTGCAGTTTTGCATCTCTATCAAGTAACCAAACAGTAGTGCTACGGTGAACTCGCACGCCCGGAAATGCTTGGGCCGATACATTGGAATTTTTCATGACCATTTCACATTTCAACATAGAAAACTGCAAAACAATCCCTTATTAGTCCAAGATGGCAGCACGCATGAATAAAAAAAAAATTGTGAATATATCATCATAGAAATATATTCTTATTAAAGGGGCCCTGCCACACTTTTTGAGCATGGTCAGAAAACGCTAGCAATTGGTAGTCAAGGCTCCAGAGAACATGCGAGCCAAATAATGTAGCGCAGCACGCGGCCTGTAATTCACAATAAATTCTTTGTCAGCTAAAAATTGGTTTCACTTCTCTCGACAAATGACAAAAGCTCAAAAACCACACGAAACAGCAGTTTTTATCAGCCATAGGTCGACTTCAGCATGGCACGCTCGGTCGTCACAAGAACCATCGCAGCAGGCCGCTACTTGTCTACGCTTGCGCCTGTGATCCCACTGAAAAGCTGCATATTCGAAGTAAAAACTGCTGCAAGGTCACGAGGAAACGGATCATTTTTTTTCTTTCTCCGTGCCATACCTCCCTCCTTAGCTCCCAATGCTCTTGTCAGGATGAGAGAATGCAATCGCAGCATGCTACAAATCTTTGTAGCTCCACTCGTGCTGGACGAATTCTAAAAATTTTTGCAGCATTGAATTTGTGATGCATTAAGCTCCCTTAGTAAATCCTTGCCATGGCTATTTGAAAATGTGTTGCAGAGCCCCCTTGTGGATAAGAAATGCACATGCATAATACTTAGCTAAAGAGCGATTGTGCAATGTGTTGTGAACAATTGCGCAATGGCATATGATGCACAAGACGGTGCAAAAGCAGGGGCCTTAAAAACTGCAGGGTTTCCCGATGTACCTTGTTCATGGCCGCACTGTCCACAGACTGATTTTTGTATCGTGTTAAAAATTTGGGTCAGCTCTGCGTACCACTGAAACTCAGCATAAAAGAGTAACACCGTTAAGCCACAACGGCCGCAGAATATAAACTCCAGGACAAATTTTAGTAAGAACATTTTTTTTAATTTTAGAGCTTTTGTGCTCCACATAGTCTATGAAGCCTGGTTGGCGTTGGGTCCCCTCCTGCGTCCAAAGGTGGCCACGGCGTTCACAAAGCGCCTGTTGTATTGAATGCGCCTCTTGGCTCGGCCAGTCTTCTTCTTTTTCTTTTCCTGCTTCTCCACCTTTGGCGTCTGTCCCTTGACCTTTCCAGCACGAGCCAGGGAGCCGTGGACTTTGCCTGCAGGAGAACACAAATACTCAAAAAATTGATTCCCCTGTTTCCACATACATCTTCAGAAAAATGAGTTGCAACTAAGGCAGTTGTGTGCTCCAGGTGAAAGGAACGTTATTGTCATATGCCTCACCGACATGCGGCCTCTAAGGAAAGAAAACAAAGTGCATATTTTAAAGGAGTGCTGGCACGAATTTTAAATATTTTCGGATAGTCACACCGCTGTTGAGAACCCTAAAGATAGAACTGTGGTGCCTGGAAATGCACCAATATATTTGTAATACCGATATAAAAAAAAAAAAACTTTCAGTTTTGATGTCTAGGGGAAGGAGTGTCAGTGATGAGTTACGGCAGCGAGATCGTTACTAGAGGGGGAGATACGGGGAGACCGTTACTAGAGGCTGATCTGTCGTCTGCTTGTGATGTGAATGAATACATTGATGTTCCGTGACCCTGCTAGCGGTTTGCACGGCTTAGGCTATGTGCACAACACAGGATCCACAAACTTAGTGAAGCAGTGACTGCGATGAGGCTTGCTTGCTAACGCTACACAAAGAAAACTTTACAAGCTTTACATCGGCGTAAGCATCTCACTTGAACTCACCAAGAAAGTGCGAAACATCGCAAGCATTTTCTTGCTCCTCAAACAGGCCACCTTTCTAAACGCCAGGCATGTGAGGTAGCGTTGATATCATTGACAAGCGCAGATCAAATGCTGGCACGAGCGCGATACCTGCCACCCAAGAGATCACACGGCTACCTCCAGCAAACATCACGAAAGATGCTACTTTGGGTGACCTCCAATATCTGTGTAAAATTGCACTTGGACTTATTTCTCTTGCAACATAACAACGCTGCCAAGTGGCAGCTTTTCATGGTCACACATTGCTGGACGTTTCCACTAGCACGGCCTCAGCTTAAAAGAGATATTTCTTTCTTCGTTCCTCCATAATTCGTTCTTTTAATTTCGTGACTATTCAGTGGAATATGTTTGTACAGTATACATTGTATTGACTTGCGCTATTTACGGCATGCATGCCGAACTGTCGTAGGAGCAGAAGCCTTGGTCATGCCTCATGGCCTTTAGCTTCTGCTTCCTTTCTGCTATAAACAGAAGAAATAAGTCAATTCAATCTGAAGATACAGCCACGAGATCGCTTCGTTGAATGTGGCCGAGCGGACGAGCTTGTTCACTGGTTTCAACACATAGATGTGCGAGAAGTTAAGCTTACCTCCGACCAGGGGCACAACGGCGTTGACGAGTGAGCCATCGGTCAAGCAGGCGGACAACAGGTCCCCATCGTTCAGTGGCTTGCCTCCTTCAGCGTATAGCCGCTGGTCCTCGGGCACAATACCCTCAGCTGTGTGGAGGTAGTTCTGCAGAGAGAAAAAAAAAAACTGGCTTCAAAGGACTGACCATCATAAAAATCAGCAGGTAACCAGAGGAAAAAGTGGTGATAGCCACCTACAGCACACTACATGTCCATTTAATGCAATGCGAAGTTTCATGCTTGGCACATTTAACATTTTCTCAACATTTACAACTTCCTTGATTTAATCAAAGGTCTACTTCAACGGTCAGTTTAGCTATCAGCTCAACCCTACCCACCATGTTCCTTCAACAAACACATAATTGTTACAACTTAGAGCTACCTATGGAGCAACAATTACATTTTGTTGCTTTCACACGTGCCACCTTCACCATTTCGGGGATTTTTTTTTTCTAACGCCGAAGACTTTTAGTGGGCATTCATAAGTACTACACTCTGCCATGTTTCATGCTATCTTTATACATGGATAACGCATAGTACACACCACAACGTTTTCATTGCGCTAGCTAACTTCACGAGTATGATCTACTAGCCACTACCACGCGATAGAAGCCATAGTTAGGGTACAGCGGTTTTACTGCACAAGCAGGTATGTTGTCTTACGTAACGCAATAAGCCCGCGTTTTCTACACAAGTTTATACGACCACGATCAAACGCAAGAAGCAGTTTTTCTTACCTTGAGAAAGGAAACTGTCTCCTCGCCGGTTACCTCAACGGCGTGACTCTCCTGGCATTGGATGATTATCTTCATTTTGATATCTGCACAGTAAAAATGCGCACACAATGAACAACGCCGATCACTTGCTATCAGTTTTAAACTAGCCGGCGCATTAGTGGAGTTTAGCGCAACTTTCCACAGTACAGTGGTCCAACTCTGAGAAAACTAACTCGTTATTAGCAGTGAAGGTAGCAAGCGAATGAAGATAAAAACGAAAAATCTGCATAACACGATTCGTCACAGGCCGCATTCCTACGCGCTCATGTGACAGCGGCTAGTGGGCAGCAGGAGGTTTGGCAATCGGAACACCCACCACACAGGCCGCGAAGAGATGCGAACGGTAATCGACTGGTTAAGATGCAAACCCTAAGTGTCCTTGGCCTCAACAAAAAGCGCGTGCATCGGTGATTATCGAGAAGCGACACCAAGAAACCAGACGATGCGCTCACATACCATGCCGCTCCGCGGTAAGCCTAACAAACCAACCTCAACATGAGCGAAATTGACGCACATACGGCAGTGTGATGTTGTTGACATGGCCGTGACGTGTTATAACGCATTTCGCCGACTCTTTCAATTATTCAGGACATTGTGGGAGCATTTAATCGCAACATACCTGGTGCTCGCGACGAAGACCGTCAGATCGCCAGCGTGAATGAAGCGTAAAAGGTGGCGCCACGTGTTTGCAGAGCGCACTACAATCGCAGTTTGCACTCTTACGTTTTCGTCAAATTTAGCGAAACACTACTTATTACGTAGCACAAATTATTAATAGTCATATATAAAATTTTTACACTTGCACTATTTCAGAAATAACTCTTCAAACAATTTTGAATAGTTCAACATAGGCTTTTGAAACTGCAACACTCTGTATGCAAAGTACTAGTCTCGGAGGTTATGCATTTGGCCTTCAGAAGTGCTTAGACACGCAAGCTCGTATGTGCCTCTGCTAGAGTACCTTTGCTGTTCATAAACTGTTTATGTGCTAATAAACGACGAAAAATTTTTAAAATAAATGATTGTGACACAAATTTCTATAGACCCCCTTTACAAGTATACCAAATTAATTTTAGCGTTTTTTGTTTGTTTCCTTAAATAGCACTAGGTGAAAAATTTTCTTTGTAGCGGTGAAAACAACATTTTCGAATTTTACTTTGTGTGGTTTGCTGTGATCGACGTTCTTTTTAAGAAATCAACAGGTGAGTGTAACCAATAAGTTACACTCTGTGGCGCAAACTCGGCGCTTTTAACAGCATTCTGTTAATACGACAGTTTCCTACATGTTGTCTCTTCTACATTTGTCCCACAATTTAAAAAAAAAAAAAGGGGGGGGGCACTCTGACTTGGGAGTTTTTGTTAACAAGTTCTTGTCGGAATTTCGGAAGCAAAGCACCTGGGTTGAGCCTATATATATATATAAAAAAAAAACAGTGCTAACCTCGAGAATAATTCTAAGCGCCCTTTCCCGCTATTCGTATTAACTAATGCACACTTCGCAAATGTACTATCTTGTCCAAACTTTGTTCTCAACGTCTATTCGTAGATGAGGCTACTCCACCGAAAATAAAAATGGAGCTGCGAAAATTTCAAACCACAGGCAAAACACGACGCTCGCTCCAAATTTTGCAAAAAAAAGAAAAAAAAACATCGTCATAATAAAGATATAACTCGGGATCCAATCGTCAGACTACTGAAAAGCTTCGCCAACACAACATATCGCTTCATAACTATCTTGAATAACATTTTACCTCTAAGGTGACAACAAAGATTTTGTTACCGAGTGGTCTTGCCACAAAATGATTAATTTTGATTCGTCTAACGTTCGAAATCCCACTGGTGAGCTTTCAGCTACAATAATTGCAATCTCGTTCACATACTGCTATCAATGAACTCATAACCCATGTAAGTGTGACAGGAAAAATTTGTAGCGCGTGTGGCCTCACTAGGACCGCAAAGTGATAGACGGGCTAAAACTGAAGCCTGCTGGTTAACCTTTCTTTCCGTGGCGGTACGCAAAGAAACACGTGACATTGAGGAACGAAGCATGGCATTTTGATTTTTGTGTATTTTAGTGAGAACTATACGCATAAGTTGCAATAAGCTCGGTCGCAAACATAAATGAGAGTGACATAATTGCGGGCAATAGAAAATATTTAAAGGCTGCTCGAAAAAACACGATGAGTAGGAATTAGGCTGCCATTCACACGTTTCTTCCCTCTTCCACTTTTTTTTTTTTGTAATATGGGATCTCCGAAGCACGAAACAGCAACATTCAAGCTTAATAAGCAAAAAAAAAAAACATTGCACATGGGTTCAACCATAAGCAGACATTGGTCGCTAATAAACATGAGCAAATATTTAACACTTACCTGTGGAGGCTGTCAAGATGTCTAGTAACGTTGGCCAATATTTTTCAGCTTCTTGAAGGGCAAGAATCAGTGGCTATATATGTCGGCAGTCAGCGTGCTACTGTGGTGTTCCTTCCGTGGTTCGCTTCTTTAATGCCATCGGTGACCAGCAGAACGGGGACAGGACCCAGCAAACACAGACACAACCTCAGGACATCCTCAGTATGCCTTCGTGAGGACAATATGACACCCTCAGAATGTCCTTTTATGGTACTAGAAAGGCACTAATCCCGTCCTCTTGTCCATACACATAACAACCTCAGCACATCCTGAAAACAACAATTCAGGACTTTTTCAGTATCTTTTCAGAACAACGATAGCGTGCCCACAGTACCGATTCGGTACTGTGGGCAGTGATACTACTTAGGATTTACTTCTTTTCATGACATTTTCATACATCAAAAGAAAAACACCTGCGAGGTCTCGAGTATATATACTGTATCAATAAACAGACAGGTGACAGTGATGTACTACTAGAGTAAAACAAACAAAGCTTGTTGACTGAAATTTATTTATTTAACAGTAATTAATCACAATAGACAGCTTTGTCAAGCATTCGAGTCCGCGTATGGTCTGAAAAAAGAAAAGCAGTATCAAAGCAGTCAGCACAGCTCAATCAACTACGTTTGTAATCTTATTCGAAAGTTTGACACAGTGTCTTCATCACCACAATGCACTCACTAGTGCTAGAGGCTCCGCATGACAGCCTATCAGTACACTCGACACGGGCGTTGACTTGACTTGCCCGAGGTCGGGCCATGTGTCAGATGCAGAAGTTGATCCTTTCACGTTGGGACCAGGCTGTTTCGAAGCCCAATTGATCGCGATTGGCTGTTGTTCCAGGCTGCTCCGAACCACACCTCGCCGCGGTCGGCTGGTGACAATGCATCCATGATCAGTCTAAACGTTGAGCAGCCCAGTGCACCCATCAAACCAGCAATTTACCTACCGTCATCACCTACGACTTACACTCTCACACATATCTCACTTTTAACCATGCACACAAACAACAAAGGACACGAACCTTCACTAGTTCACTGCACTTTCCCTGACAAGACCGTCGCTGCCATTTTGACAGTCAGTTGGCTTGGAGTGGCTTGGCTACTTGACCATGACCTACTACACTCCTGACCTGTTCAGATAGCGGGGTTCCTATGGGAGCGCGTGTCCCCGCTCTCGTTCAATCGCTCGCCGTAGGTGGCGCTACCTATAACCTGTTCGTCTGCTACTTTACGGCTGTTTGGACGGCGCTAGAGTAAGAACGGCTGCATTCCGTGATGAACAGCCGGCATATATGTGACTATTTTTTCACTTAGATGACTGGTCAAGTAAGCTGTTCAGTGTGACGAAAAATTTATTGCACACTGGTGGACAAATGCGAGAATCCGTAGACTTACATAGTGTAGGACAGCATATGTGATGTTGCGTCCATTTAATTGCAAAGAATTTGTGAATGACTTTTGAAATATTTGTTTCAAAATTATTTTTCATTAGTGCATAATAATTACGCAATATGAGTGCTCTGTTGGCCGAAATATGACCACGAACACTGAAGCTGACGTCAGCGAACAGGTGCTGACTAGCGCCACAGTGCTCGTAGGTGACGGCCCTAGCGGCAGAAGGTATGAACTAGAACGTGGGCGCTGGAAGAGGTGCTCTCTGGGAAGGTCAGGAGTGTAGTAGGTCATGTACTTGACTATCTATAATGGTGCCGCATAGTCAATGGTTGCCAGCTGCTAGTTTGTCACTACGCGCTACGGTGACGTATAATGACAAAATGACCAGACATTTAAGAACACACTGCTTAAAATGGACATTTCGCAATACCAGGTTCGATACCTAAGTCAATTGATTGTATGTGTGTCTCAGGCGTGACACATAATTTGAAAATTTTCTGCAAAAAAAAAAACGAGGCGAAAATATACAATAACTTTATGACTGTAAGAAACAAACGTGTGGAGAAAGTTTTCACGTATGAAATGCATCTACTTGGTGCGCAAAAGTCTTCAGGAATTATATCTAAGTGCTCAGTGCAATGTTTTGTCATCCCCAAAAGATCCTTAACAGGACCTTTTCCGGACCAATTGTTGTCCTCAGAAAGCACACGAAAAGACCTTTCCGGGGCAAACCAGCTTGTGTCGTCCTCAGAGAGTTCTAAGGTCAATGAGAACTGTGCGAGGACGATTGTACCATATGAGGACAACCTCAGGACATCGAGTGTTGTCTGGGGAGGTTGACACGTGTACTTTCCCCCAGCAGCATGTGACTCAATAAACTGACAGAACCTTTCGCATATGTAGTGATAGTTGAGGAAGAATGAGGCACTCATTTCTGTCTCTCAGATTGAAGACACGGCCCGTGCCTATAACTGGAGGATACGCACAATGAACGATTTCCACGAACGGTAATGCATAGAGAGAGAGAGAAAAAAAAAACACAAAACAAGGGAAAGAAAAGCACACTGCCAAGTCACCTTGAACAAAGACTGGCGGATGGAACTGTCTGGGTTCGAAAGGGAACGGGGGAAGGGGTTTAGGATGACAGTCAGGAAAAGACGACAGGGAGAACAATTACTTTGTCTGTGAACTTGCTCTATCTTTGCTTTTGCCTAACAAAGGAACGCGAGGGGGCACCGGCATGGAAGCGTTGACTGCTGGACCACTTAATGCACCATTGTAGAATATTTCAGCTACACAAAACATGACTGACGTGTCGGGTTTAACGCCCCAAAACCACCATATGATTATGAGAGACGCCGTAGTGGAAGGCTCCGGAAATTTCGACCAGCCCGGGTTCTTTAACGTGCACCCAAATCGGAGCACAGGGACAGCACCTTCGCCTCCATCAAAAATGCAGTCTGGATTCGATGCCGCGACCTGTGGGTCAGCAGCAGAGTACCTTAGCCAGGCCACAGCGGCGGCGGCTACACAAAACACAGACTCCGGAGCACTCCACTACGGCGTCTCTCATAATCATATGGTGGTTTCGGGACCGTAAACCCCACTTATCAATCAATGAATTGCACAAAACACAGAACAGGAAGAAACATTGGACACGATAGCATGTTCTTTTCCGAGCACGTGACGTCACAGATAGATTCCCTGCGCTGTGAAAGTCAACACAGGGGCGTAGGCTGAAATGGTTTTCGGGGGGAGCGGGGAGATACCTTCTTGAAATGATCATTTTTCGCTCTGTATGCCACGGCGCAAAAAAAAAAAAAGTTCAGAGGGGGTCGAGGGACCCTGACGGGCCCCGTGTGCCACTCCCTGGCTTCGCCACTGCTTCAACATGG